ATATAGTAGCATATGTCCCCTATAGTAGTATATGTCCCCTATAGTAGTATATGTCTCCTATAGTAGTATATGTCTCCTATAGTAGTATATGTCCCCTATAGTAGTTTATGTCCCCTATCGCAATATATGTCCCCTATATTAGTATATGTCCCCTATAGTAGTATATGTCCCCTATAGTAGTATATGTCTCCTATAGTAGTATATGTCCCCTATAGTAGTATATGTCTCCTATAGTAGTATATGTCCCCTATTTAGTATATGTCCCCTATAGTAGTATATGTCTCCTATAGTAGTATATGTCCCCTATAGTAGTATATGTCTCCTATAGTAGTATATGTCCCCTATAGTAGTATATGTCCCCTATAGTAGTATATGTCTCCTATAGTAGTATATGTCTCCTATAGTAGTATATGTCTCCTATAGTAGTATATGTCCCCTATTGTAGTATATGTCTCCTATAGTAGTATATGTCTCCTATAGTAGTATATGTCCCCTATCGCAATATATGTCCCCTATAGTAGTATACAGTGGGGGGGGAAAGTATTTAGTCAGCCACCAATTGTGCAAGTTCTCCCACTTAAAAAGATGAGAGAGGCCTGTAATATTCATCATAGGTACACGTCAACTATGACAGACAAATTGAGATTTTTTTCTCTCCAGAAAATCACATTGTAGGATTTTTAATGAATTTATTTGCAAATTATGGTGGAAAATAAGTATTTGGTCACCTACAAACAAGCAAGATTTCTGGCTCTCACAGACCTGTAACTTCTTCTTTAAGAGGCTCCTCTGTCCTCCACTCGTTACCTGTATTAATGGCACCTGTTTGAACTTGTTATCAGTATAAAAGACACCTGTCCACAACCTCAAACAGTCACACTCCAAACTCCACTATGGCCAAGACCAAAGAGCTGTCAAAGGACACCAGAAACAAAATTGTAGACCTGCACCAGGCTGGGAAGACTGAATCTGCAATAGGTAAGCAGCTTGGTTTGAAGAAATCAACTGTGGGAGCAATTATTAGGAAATGGAGGACATACAAGACCACTGATAATCTCCCTCGATCTGGGGCTCCACGCAAGATCTCACCCCGTGGGGTCAAAATGATCACAAGAACGGTGAGCAAAAATCCCAGAACCACACGGGGGGACCTAGTGAATGACCTGCAGAGAGCTGGGACCAAAGTAACAAAGCCTACCATCAGTAACACACTTCGCCGCCAGGGACTCAAATCCTGCAGTGCAAGACGTGTCCCCCTGCTTAAGCCAGTACATGTCCAGGCCCGTCTGAAGTTTGCTAGAGTGCATTTGGATGATCTAGAAGAGGATTGGGAGAATGTCATATGGTCAGATGAAACCAAAATATAACTTTTTGGTAAAAACTCAACTCGTCGTGTTTGGAGGACAAAGAATGCTGAGTTGCATCCAAAGAACACCATACCTACTGTGAAGCATGGGGGTGGAAACATCATGCTTTGGGGCTGTTTTTCTGCAAAGGGACCAGGACGACTGATCCGTGTAAAGGAAAGAATGAATGGGGCCATGTATCGTGACATTTTGAGTGAAAACCTCCTTCCATCAGCAAGGGCATTGAAGATGAAACGTGGCTGGGTCTTTCAGCATGACAATGATCCCAAAACACACCGCCCGGGCAACGAAGGAGTGGCTTCGTAAGAAGCATTTCAAGGTCCTGGAGTGGCCTAGACAGTCTCCAGATCTCAACCCCATAGAAAATCTTTGGAGGGAGTTGAAAGTCCGTGTTGCCCAGCGACAGCCCCAAAACATCACTGCTCTAGAGGAGATCTGCATGGAGGAATGGGCCAAAATACCAGCAACAGTGTGTGAAAACCTTGTGAAGACTTACAGAAAACGTTTGACCTGTGTCATTGCCAACAAAGGGTATATAACAAAGTATTGAGAAACTTTTGTTATTGACCAAATACTTATTTTCCACCATAATTTGCAAATAAATTCATTAAAAATCCTACAATGTGATTTTCTGGAGAAAAGAAATCTCATTTTGTCTGTCATAGTTGACGTGTACATATGATGAAAATTACAGGCCTCTCTCATCTTTTTAAGTGGGAGAACTTGCACAATTGGTGGCTGACTAAATACTTTTTCCCCCCACTGTATGTCCCCTATAGTAGTATATGTCCCCTATATTAGTATATGTCTCCTATAGTAGTATATGTCCCCTATAGTGCTATATGTCCCCTATAGTAGTGTATGTCCCCTATAGTAGTATATGTCCCCTATAGTAGTATATGTTCCCTATAGTAGTATATGTCCCCTATAGTAGTATATGTCTCCTATAGTAGTATATGTCCCCTTTAGTAGTATATGTCTCCTATAGTAGTATATGTCCCCTATAGTAGTATATGTCCCCTATAGTAGTATATGTCCCCTATAGTAGTATATGTCCCCTATAGTAGTATATGTCCCCTATAGTAGTATATGTATCCTATAGTAGTATATGTATCCTATAGTAGTATATGTCCCCTATAGTAGTATATGTCCCCTATAGTAGTATATGTCCCCTATAGTAGTATATGTCCCCTATAGTAGTATATGTCCCCTATAGTAGTATATGTCTCCTATAGTAGTATATGTCCCCTATAGTAGTATATGTCCCCTATAGTAGTATATGTCCCCTATAGTAGTATATGTCCCCTATAGTAGTATATGTCCCCTATAGTAGTATATGTCCCCTATAGTAGTATATGTCCCCTATAGTAGTATATGTCCCCTATAGTAGTATACGTCCCCTATAGTAGTATATGTCCCCTATAGTAGTATATGTGCCCTATAGTAGTATATGTCTTCTATAGTAGTATATGTCCCCTATAGTAGTATATGTCTCCTATAGTGCTATATGTCCCCTATAGTAGTATATGTCTCCTATAGTGCTATATGTCCCCTATAGTAGTATATGTCCCCTATAGTAGTATATGTCCCCTATAGTAGTATATGTCCCCTATAGTACTATATGTCCCCTATAGTAGTATATGTCCCCTATAGTAGTATATGTCCCCTATAGTAGTATATGTATCCTATAGTAGTATATGTCCCCTATAGTAGTATATGTCCCCTATAGTAGTATATGTCCCCTATAGTGCTATATGTCCCATATAGTAGTATATGTCCCCTATAGTAGTATATGTCCCCTATAGTAGTATATGTCCCCTATAGTAGTATATGTCCCCTATAGTAGTATATGTCCCCTATAGGAGTATATGTCCCCTATAGTAGTATATGTCCCCTATAGTAGTATATGTCCCTTATAGTAGTATATGTCCCCTATAGTAGTATATGTCCCCTATAGTAGTATATGTCCCCTATAGTAGTATATGTCCCCTATAGTAGTATACGTCCCCTATAGTAGTATATGTCCCCTATAGTAGTATATGTGCCCTATAGTAGTATATGTCTTCTATAGTAGTATATGTCCCCTATAGTAGTATATGTCTCCTATAGTGCTATATGTCCCCTATAGTAGTATATGTCTCCTATAGTGCTATATGTCCCCTATAGTAGTATATGTCCCCTATAGTAGTATATGTCCCCTATAGTAGTATATGTCCCCTATAGTAGTATATGTCCCCTATAGTAGTATATGTCCCCTATAGTAGTATATGTCCTCTATAGTAGTATATGTCCCCTATAGTAGTATATGTCCCCTATAGTAGTATATGTATCCTATAGTAGTATATGTCCCCTATAGTAGTATATGTCCCCTATAGTAGTATATGTCCCCTATAGTAGTATATGTCCCCTATAGTAGTATATGTCCCCTATAGTGCTATATGTCCCATATAGTAGTATATGTCCCCTATAGTAGTATATGTCCCCTATAGTAGTATATGTCCCCTATAGTAGTATATGTCTCCTATAGTAGTATATGTCCCCTATAGTAGTATATGTCCCCTATAGTAGTATATGTCCCCTATAGTAGTATATGTCCCCTATAGTAGTATACGTCCCCTATAGTAGTACATGTCCCCTATAGTAAATATACACCACCAGCTCCTTTCAGTAGAAATAAATAAAGGCATGCATCCATCCATGTGTATGTAGTAACCAGTAGGCTTTCTCTGCTGAATAAGTCTACTAACCGGGGGCTAGGCCTAGCACTTAGGCCTTTAGTCTGTTTCACAGCCACCTGCACTGTTTGAGTAGAGTACTAGAATCCTACTCAGAGGTTTTTATTGGGTTTCCTGAATCTATTCAAAGCAGCATCTCTTCTCTTCATTAGCCTAATGCTAACAGCGCTGATACAGTGTCAGATATGATGACAAAGGTCATAAACCCTACACACACATGAAACCCTCTCATGACTATTTCCCTTTTCAGACCAGGGTTATGTCCCAAATGGCGCCCTGTTAACTATGTAGTGCACTAACATTGACCAGGCCCCATAGGGCTTAGGGTGCCATTTGGGATGCATGCCAGCAGAGTCCGCCAGATAAAACATGTATCTTCTATCCTATCACAGGACACATCCGACAGTCAGTCCAACATGACAGTGGTGGAAAGATAGTTTTAGCCTTGGTTAATTATTCCCACTGTGTGACAGGGATCTGTGACCAGCAGTCGTGTGCGTGTGTGTGTGTGTGTGTGCGTGCATGCGTGCGTGCGTGCGTGCGTGCGTGTGCGTGTGTGTGTGCGTGTGTGTGTGTGTGTGGTGTTAGTGGTTCAGCTCTCTCTCTCTCTCTCTCTAACTTCTCAAATGAGGAAGTTCACAGCCGTGTTTGTAGCAGCTTCCTTTTTACAGCTTTCGCCCCACTAACAGGAAGAGAGAGAGAGATAGAGAGAAAGAAAGAGACAGAGAGAGAGAGCAAGAGAGAGAGAGAGAGAGAGAGCAACAGAGAAGACTGTGAGAAACATGTCTGTGGCTGAGTGTTTTCAGTAGAGAACAGAACTTTGTCTGTAGCTAGCTGAGTGTTTTCAGTAGAGAACAGAACTCTGTCTGTAGCTGAGTGTTTTCAGTAGAGAACCAGGATGTCTACGTCGTACCAGCCATGGCACCATGGTAATATCACCCGTTCTAAGGCTGAGGATCTGCTCTCCAAAGCAGCCAGGGATGGGAGCTTCCTCCTCCGGGACAGTGAGTCCATACAGGGTGCCTATGCCCTCTGTGTTCTGTAAGTAAAACGTCCATTCTGACTACCTTTTGAATATATATATATATATATATCTGGGTAAAACTGACAGTTTAACAGTCCCAAATTCTGTTGGAAAGATCAAATTGAGGAAGGAGGATTATGTTGAGAACTCATCCCTAATACCTCTTCGTATGCAAGTAACATTTGAAAGTAGCTTAGACTACGCCAACTGACTACTCTCTTTTGCAGAGAGAGACAGATAAGGAAATAATTGACAGTTAAACGTGTACTGAGCTACAATGCTGTTGTACAGATCAAAATTGAGGAAGGAAGATCATGTTGAAGTCTTTGATCGAAGTAGCTCGGAGTAGGAAGAGCTGATTTAAAAACAAAGACTTTAAAATCAGACAAAACAATGATCAACGCTAAACACACTGTTGTTATTGGGGAGTGATTTCAATCTGAAGTGTCAAATACCTACATGTATTTCGGATACATATTCTCCTGCAGCGCGGTATAGAACCTAACTCTGCCTACTGACAGCGTTTGGCATGTAAAGCAGAACAATGTGATGTTGACTTTCTGTTTCCTTACACCGTGACATAAATCATGGCAACAAGTACATCTTGGTGGAATTGAAAATGTCTTTGCTCAAGACTTTGATCAACCAGAGAAAACTGGCTAGAATAATGTCGTTGTTGTTGTTGCATGCAGTTTTAGACGTGACTAAATCTATAGCAGGAATTCTATATGATGTAGACCTATTTTGAAATTACACCTGCTTACCTGCAGCGGCCAACTCATCTGCACACACTGTCATGCTGCAAAGCTGGGTAGACTCCACTGTGCAACTCACACCACACATCTCTGTGTCACTGTCAGCTTTTATTAGAATAATCGCTAAACAAATACATGAATGGTCATGTGCTGTTTACCGTTGGACACAAAGTAATCTATCATTACTGCACCTGTCACACCCTGCTGTGAAATGTCAGTTACTTTAAACCAGAAACCCCAGACCCAACCTCCCCAGACCCAGACCGCTTCTCAAGACCCAGACCACCAGATCAAGACATCTCTGTAAACTGTATGATAATAACCCATCTCTCCTATTTCCAGGTACCAGAACTGTGTTTATACGTACAGGATCCTACCCAATGAGGAGAGGAAACTCTCTGTCCAGGTCAGTCAGACGGCTCAACAATATCTATTCTTACCAAAATGCACCCTGTTTTGAGTGTGGATCCCCCCTACACAGCATTTAATCTTATTATTTTGATCTTCACAACACAAGTCCTGGGCGTTATACCACCAATTTTAGCTGGTAAAGTCCACTTCCAGGTGTTGGGTGTTAATGGGTATTTTAAGAGCCATTTCTCAATTTCTCATGCATCAGACAACTTCTGCTTTTGTTTTCAATGCCTTCAGAAATTAAGAAAGGCCATGTGTGGTGAGAGGAGTTTTGGCATGTAGCATTTTATTGTGGATATTGTGAAACATATTACGGTTATGCATTGCACCAAGTCTACTTGTATAGTTTGCATGGTGTTTGGACCTGCCAGGGGCTACAATGTGAGCTCTCTGTATAATTAGACACTTGCTATTAACTGTGACTTGCTTGCTGTGGCTGTGAATGTGTTACAATGCTCATGTCCTTTATTCAATAAAGGGGGGGGAGTACAGTCTATTCAATAAAGGGGGTGTACAGTCTATTCAATAAAGGGGGTGTACAGTCTATTCAATAAAGGGGGGTGTACAGTCTATTCATAAAGGGGGAGTACAGTCTATTCAATAAAGGGGGGTGTACAGTCTATTCAATAAGGGGGAGTACAGTCTATTCAATAAAGGGGGAGTACAGTCTATTCAATAAAGGGGGAGTAGTCTATTCAATAAAGGGGGAGTACAGTCTATTCAATAAAGGGGGAGTACAGTCTATTCAATAAAGGGGGTTACAGTCTATTCAATAAAGGGGGGGGTACAGTCTATTCATAAGGGGTGTACAGTCTATTCAATAAAGGGGGTGTACAGTCTATTCAATAAAGGGGTGTACAGTCTATTCATAAAGGGGGAGTACAGTCTATTCAATAAGGGGTGTACAGTCTATTCAATAAAGGGGGAGTACAGTCTATTCAATAAAGGGGGTGTACAGTCTATTCAATAAAGGGGGTGTACAGTCTATTCAATAAAGGGGGTGTACAGTCTATTCAATAAAGGGGGTGTACAGTCTATTCAATAAAGGGGGGGGGTACAGTCTATTCAATAAAGGGGGTGTACAGTCTATTCAATAAAGGGGGTGTACAGTCTATTCAATAAAGGGGGTGTACAGTCTATTCAATAAAGGGGGTGTACAGTCTATTCAATAAAGGGGGTGTACAGTCTATTCAATAAAGGGGGGTGTACAGTCTATTCAATAAGGGGGGAGTACAGTCTATTCAATAAAGGGGGAGTACAGTCTATTCAATAAGGGGGGTGTACAGTCTATATCAATAAAGGGGGGAGTACAGTCTATTCAATAAAGGGGGAGTACAGTCTATTCAATAAGGGGGTGTACAGTCTATTCAATAAAGGGGCAGTACAGTCTATTCAATAAAGGGGGTGTACAGTCTATTCAATAAAGGGGGAGTACAGTCTATTCAATAAAGGGGGAGTACAGTCTAATCAATAAAGGGGGTGTCAGTCTATTCAATAAGGGGGAGTACAGTCTAATCAATAAAGGGGGTGTACAGTCTATTCAATAAAGGGGGAGTACATCTATTCAATAAAGGGGGAGTAGTCTATTCAATAAAGGGGGAGTACAGTCCTATTCAATAAAGGGGTGTACAGTCTATTCAATAAGGGGAGTACAGTCTATTCAATAAAGGGGAGTACAGTCTATTCAATAAAGGGGGAGTACAGTCTATTCAATAAAGGGGTGTACAGTCTATTCAATAAAGGGGGAGTACGTCTATTCAATAAAGGGGAGTACAGTCTATTCAATAAGGGGGAGTACAGTCTATTCAATAAGGGGGTGTACAGTCTATTCAATAAAGGGGGAGTACAGTCTATTCATAAAGGGGGTGTACAGTCTATTCAATAAAGGGGGAGTACAGTCTATTCAATAAAGGGGGAGTACAGTCTATTCAATAAGGGGTGTACAGTCTATTCAATAAAGGGGGAGTACAGTCTATTCAATAAAGGGGGGAGTACAGTCTATTCAATAAAGGGGGAGTACAGTCTATTCAATAAAGGGGGAGTACAGTCTATTCAATAAAGGGGTGTACAGTCTATTCAATAAAGGGGAGTACAGTCTATTCAATAAAGGGGGTGTACAGTCTATTCAATAAAGGGGAGTACAGTCTATTCAATAAAGGGGGTGTACAGTCTATTCAATAAAGGGGGTGTACAGTCTATTCAATAAAGGGGGAGTACAGTCTATTCAATAAAGGGGGGTGTACAGTCTATTCAATAAAGGGGGAGTACAGTCTATTCAATAAAGGGGGGTGTACAGTCTATTCAATAAAGGGGGGAGTACAGTCTATTCAATAAAGGGGGAGTACAGTCTATTCAATAAAGGGGGTGTACAGTCTATTCAATAAAGGGGGAGTACAGTCTATTCAATAAAGGGGGTGTACAGTCTATTCAATAAAGGGGGTGTACAGTCTATTCAATAAAGGGGGTGTACAGTCTATTCAATAAAGGGGGGTACAGTCTATTCAATAAAGGGGGTGTACAGTCTATTCAATAAAGGGGGTGTACAGTCTATTCAATAAAGGGGGTGTACAGTCTATTCAATAAAGGGGGTGTACAGTCTATTCAATAAAGGGGGGGGGGGGGTACAGTCTATTCAATAAACAGTGTGTACAGTACAACAGGTTTCACTTCAGCTGTAGGCCCGCCCTCTCTGCTCTCTCTGCCACCAAGAGGCTGAGGTTGAAATTTAAATACATTTGGTTATTGTACATGCCCTTATGACTGTGGCAGTCAGAATATTCCAAACCTAGAGAAACATACTACAGTGCACAGTTGATGAATTAGATAGATTTTAATTGATCTATTGTAGCTGGAAAGCACGAAAGTCATCCCTGCTGATTAACAAGTTCTTGAGTTTTAGCTTTCCCTATACACAGAAATGAACGGTACTGCAGTTCCTACAGGCTACTCTGCTAATGCTGATCAAAAGTTGATTCCTCTTTCAGTTGCAGGAGGTGTTAAATGATCCCCTAGCGTGGGCGTATGAAAAGCCACAAGGTTAATCTCGTGGTGCTTAACAGAAAATAGCGGAAACTTCACACAGAAAAAAAACATCCACAGTGCCAGTGAAAGGGGCAAAAAAACACGTGACTTGGTAGTTGATACGCCCTTGGATGTAGTCCTTTATAACAGTATGTAAGCTGTATGATTGTTGTAGAAGGAAAACCTGTAATTCATACAACATGACCTAAAGTCTCTGAAAACATGCCATAACATGCCATAATTTAATTTTTAAAATTTATAATAAAGCCCTCTCAGATCCTACTCTCGCATTGCTACACTGATCTATACCTGCACCAGAAAGATCTATGCCAGCACCAGAAAGATCTATACCAGCACCAGAAAGATCTATACCAGCACCAGAAAGATCTACACCAGCACCAGAAAGATCTATACCAGCACCAGAAAGATCTACACCAGCACCAGAAAGATCTACACCAGCACCAGAAAGATCTATACCAGCACCAGAAAGATCTACACCAGCACCAGAAAGATCTACACCAGCACCAGAAAGATCTACACCAGCACCAGAAAGATCTACACCAGCACCAGAAAGATCTATACCTGCACCAGAAAGATCTATACCAGCACCAGAAAGATCTATACCTGCACCAGAAAGATCTATGCCAGCACCAGAAAGATCTATACCAGCACCAGAAAGATCTACACCAGCACCAGAAAGATCTACACCAGCACCAGAAAGATCTACACCAGCACCAGAAAGATCTACACCAGCACCAGAAAGATCTATACCAGCACCAGAAAGATCTATACCTGCACCAGAAAGATCTATACCAGCACCAGAAAGATCTATACCTGCACCAGAAAGATCTATGCCAGCACCAGAAAGATCTATACCAGCACCAGAAAGATATATACCTGCACCAGAAAGATCTATGCCAGCACCAGAAAGATCTATACCTGCACCAGAAAGATCTATACCTGCACCAGAAAGATCTATGCCAGCACCAGAAAGATCTATACCTGCACCAGAAAGATATATGCCAGCACCAGAAAGATCTATGCCAGCACCAGAAAGATCTATGCCAGCACCATGAAGATCTATACCAGCACCAGAAAGATCTATACCTGCACCAGAAAGATCTATGCCAGCACCAGAAAGATCTATGCCAGCACCATGAAGATCTATACCAGCACCAGAAAGATATATGCCAGCACCAGAAAGATCTATGCCAGCACCATGAAGATCTATACCAGCACCAGAAAGATCTATGCCAGCACCAGAAAGATCTATGCCAGCACCATGAAGATCTATACCAGCACCATATATCAAGCACCAAGTAGAGGCTACTAGCCTGTGTCTTGCTGTGGTGCTCTGTAGTGTACTAGACTCAGAAGTGTACTAGCCTGTGATGAGATCTTAGAGAATACAGTGTATCAGGAGCATGGCTTGATGGTGCATACTTTAAAACCCACCTGAGTGCCTGGACTTTGGATTCTTCAAACCATTTTACATTTACATTTACATTTTAGTCATTTAGCAGACACTCTTATCCAGAGCGACCATTTAACACTCTTTTGTTTGATTTGCTTTTTCCTGTTTTCTAATCTGTTCTAACCTGTGACTGATGTTCTGCTCTCTAGAGTTCTAACCTGTGACTGATGTTCTGCTCTCTAGAGTTCTAACCTGTGACTGATGTTCTGCTCTCTAGAGTTCTAACCTGTGACTGATGTTCTGCTCTCTAGAGTTCTAACCTGTGACTGATGTTCTGCTCTCTAGAATTCTAACCTGTGACTGATGTTGTTACTAGACTCAGTAGTTTGGGCTACTAACCAGTGTTTGTTGTTTCTCTGTGTCTCCAGGCCTCTGAGGGGGTCCCTATCCGGTTCTTCTGTGTGCTGGCTGACCTGGTGGAGACGTACTACAGTCCCAACATGGGTCTGGCTACACACCTGCAGTTCCCTGTTCAGAAGGAGGAGGAGCCAGAGGAGGAGCCAGGTCAGATAATAACCCACTGATTATCTCTCTGCGTTTCTAAGGGTACCCTATCAGACCTGGTCAAAAGTCTAGGGTGCCATTTGGGACCCTGCCATTCTCTCGTATTATGTTTTGCTACAGCTGAGCTAACCCAAGGTAGGTTGGTGGTACCAGATCTGACCTAACCCAAGGTAGGTTGGTGGTACCAGATCTGACCTAACCCAAGGTGGGTTGGTGGTACCAGATCTGACCTAACCCAAGGTAGGTTGGTGGTACCAGATCTGACCTAACCCAAGGTAGGTTGGTGGTACCAGATCTGACCTAACCCAAGGTAGGTTGGTGGTACCAGATCTGACCTAACCCAAGGTAGGTTGGTGGTACCAGATCTGACCTAACCCAAGGTAGGTTGGTGGTACCAGATCTGACCTAACCCAAGGTAGGTTGGTGGTACCAGATCTGACCTAACCCAAGGTAGGTTGGTGGTACCAGATCTGACCTAACCCAAGGTAGGTTGGTGGTACCAGATCTGACCTAACCCAAGGTAGGTTAGGTTGGTGGTACCAGATCTGACCTAACCCAAGGTAGGTTGGTGGTACCAGATCTGAGCTAACCCAAGGTAGGTTGGTGGTACCAGATCTGACCTAACCCAAGGTAGGTTGGTGGTACCAGATCTGTTTATGTTGTATAGCCAATTTCTATGGTTGACCCAAGTAAGTTGGTGACCATAGGAAGTTGGCTATACAGCGCGAAGAGATCTGAGATCCGGAAATAACCCAGGGGATCTCTCTGGCCTATCCAAAAAGGTACAGTGTATTTTATCTGCCACAGGACCAGTGCTTGAAGTGCTCATATTAGGGCTGTCAAAAATAGCGCGTTAACGACGTTAATTAGTTGTTTGCTGTTAATTACGTCAATTTTTTTAACGCATTTCACGCATGCGCAGTGTGACAAATTATTCAGGTCAGGAAAGTGGTTGGGAGCTAGAGGCGAGATGGAGCAAGGTGAGCAAAGTGGGCCTATTGACGGATTCAAATATAAAAAGAATGATGATGGTACAGTTAACAAGTACAAGGTTATTTGCAAGATTTGTAAGAAGGAGTTTCAATTTCACCGGAGCTGTTCAAGCTTGAAGTACCATGTCAACGCCAAACATGCGTTTGCTGGGCCGTCAGATTCAGCAAGTGGTTTGCGCCAGACCACGCTGAATGTTTGCAGGCAATTAACAAAATCAACCTCAGATAATTTGACCAACACAATAGCAAAATGGATTGCAAAGGATTGTAGACCCATTAGCATTGTAGAAGACTCAGGTTTCCTTGATGTTTTGCAAGTGGCGTCTCAAGACTCATTCTATAAGCCACCGTCAAGAGCCACAGTTATGAAGAAAATCCACGAGCTCTATGAAAACGAAAAAGAAAAAAGGAAAGAGGTCTTGGCTCAAGTAAATCATATCTTTATTTATCTTTTGGTATGCATTTCAGAAAAAAAATGGTTAGGATTCAGGTGTAATTGCAAATAGTGATTAATCATGATTAATCCACTGAAAATTCTGATTAATTTGATTACAAATTTTAATCATTTGACAGCCCTAGCTCATATTTTTAATATCATTATTAGAGGTTTCAAGTTTCAAAGTATATACAGGCTCAGTGCCACTACCATAATTACAGTGTGCAGGGTTACTGGAGTAATTGAGGTACAGGGTTGGGTAGGTTACATTCTAAATGTGATCAGTTAGTTACTAGTTACCTGTCCACAATTGTAAATCAATCAGATACATTTGTATGACTTTCCCCTTAAGAGGCATTAGAAGAAGACTAAAAGGATCCATCAAACGCATTTGGTGTGTCATCATAGTGGTCTCTGATTGGTGGTCATCATTTGGTGTGTTACCATAGTGGTCTCTGATTGGTGGTCATCATTTGGTGTGTCATCATAGTGGTCTCTGATTGGTGGTCATCATTTGGTGTGTCATCATAGTGGTCTCTGATTGGTGGTCATCATTTGGTGTGTCATCATAGTGGTCTCTGATTGGTGGTCATCATTTGTTGTGTCATCATAGTGGTCTCTGATTGGTGGTCATCATTTGGTGTGTCATCATAGTGGTCTCTGATTGGTGGTCATCATTTGGTGTGTCATCATAGTGGTCTCTGATTGGTGGTCATCATTTGGTGTGTCATCATAGTGGTCTCTGATTGGTGGTCATCATTTGTTGTGTCATCATAGTGGTCTCTGATTGGTGGTCATCATTTGTTGTGTCATCATAGTGGTCTCTGATTGGTGGTCATCATTTGTTGTGTCATCATAGTGGTCTCTGATTGGTGGTCATCATTTGTTGTGTCATCATAGTGGTCTCTGATTGATGGTCATCATTTGGTGTGTCATCATAGTAGTCTCTGATTGGTGGTCATCATTTGGTGTGTCATCATAGTGGTCTCTGATTGGTGGTCATCATTTGTTTTGTCATCATAGTGGTCTCTGATTGGTGGTCATCATTTGGTGTGTCATCATAGTGGTCTCTGATTGGTGGTCATCATTTGTTGTGTCATCATAGTGGTCTCTGATTGGTGGTCATCATTTGTTGTGTCATCATAGTGGTCTCTGATTGGTGGTCATCATTTGGGGTGTCATCATAGTGGTCTCTGATTGGTGGTCATCATTTGTTGTGTCATCGTAGTGGTCTCTGATTGGTGGTCATCATTTGTTGTGTCATCGTAGTGGTCTCTGATTGGTGGTCATCATTTGTTGTGTCATCATAGTGGTCTCTGATTGGTGGTCATCATTTGTTGTGTCATCATAGTGGTCTCTGATTGGTGGTCATCATTTGTTGTGTCATCATAGTGGTCTCTGATTGGTGGTCATCATTTGTTGTGTCATCATAGTGGTCTCTGATTGGTGGTCATCATTTGTTGTGTCATCATAGTGGTCTCTGATTGGTGGTCATCATTTGTTGTGTCATCATAGTGGTCTCTGATTGGTGGTCATCATTTGTTGTGTCATCGTAGTGGTCTCTGATTGGTGGTCATCATTTGTTGTGTCATCATAGTGGTCTCTGATTGGTGGTCATCATTTGTTGTGTCATCATAGTGGTCTCTGATTGGTGGTCATCATTTGTTGTGTCATCATAGTGGTCTCTGATTGGTGGTCATCATTTGTTGTGTCATCATAGTGGTCTCTGATTGGTGGTCATCATTTGTTGTGTCATCATAGTGGTCTCTGACTGCTGTTCAGACTCGCTCAGGTGGAACAAACTTAAACTTGCGCCTTTTTTCGATGCTGAATTGAATGTCATTGAGAAAACATCCTCTCTAAATGTAAAAGTAATCCAATAAGTAATCATCTAGTTTTTATCTGTAATCTGATGACAATACGTTTGCTGATAATGTAACTGATTACAGTTAGTTGTTTTGTAATCAGATTACATGTAATCAAATACTCATTAACCCGGTTAAAGTAGAGACACTACAAGACCAAAGGACACCTGCTCGTCGAACATCTCAGTCCAAAATCCTGGGCATTAATATGGAGTTGGTCCCCCCCTTTGCTGCTATAACAGCCTCCACACTTCTGGGAAGGCTTTCCACTAGATGTTGGAACATTGCTGCGGGGGACTTGCTTCCATTCAGCCACAAGAGCGTTAGTGAGGTCGGGCACTGATGTTGGGCGATTAGGTCTGGCTCGCAGTCGGCGTTCCAATTCATCCCAAAGGTGTTCGATGGGGTTGAGGTCAGGGCTCTGTGCAGGCCGGTCAAGTTCTTCCACACAGATCTCGACAAACCATTTCTATATGGACCTCGCTATGTGCACGAATGCCATCTAGAATGTCATTGTATGCTGTAGTGTTAAGATTTCCCTTCACTGGAACTAAGGAGCCCGAACCATGAAAACAGCCCAAGACCATTATTCCTCCTCCACCAAACTTTACAGTTGGCTCTATGCATTGGGTCAGGTAGCGTTCTCCTGGCATCCGCCAAACCCAGATTCGTCCGTCGGACTGCCAGATGGTGAAGCGTGATTCATCACTCCAGAGAACACGCTTCCACTGCTCCAGAGTCCAATGGCGGCGAGCTTTACACCACTCCAGCCGACGCTTGGCATTGGGTATTGGGATCTTAGGCTTGTGTGTGGCTGCTCTGCCATGGAAACACATTTCATGAAGCTCCCGACGAACAGTTCTTGTGCTGACGTTGCTTCCAGAGGCAGTTTGGAACTCGGTAGTGAGTGTTGCAACTGAGGACAGACGATTTTTACGCGCTACACGCTTCAGCACTTGGCAGCCCCATTCTGTGAGTTTGTGTGGCCTACCACTTCGCAGCTGAGCCGTTGTTACTCCACTTCCACTTCACAGTAACAGCACTTACAGTTGACCGGGGCAGCTCTAGCAGGGCAGAAATTTGACGAACTGACTTGTTGGAAAGGTGGCATCCTATGACGTTGCCACGTTGAAAGTCACTGAGCTCTTCAGTAAGGCCATTCTACTGCTAATGTTTGTCTATGGAGATTGCATGGCGGTGTGCTTGATGTTATACACCTGTCAGCAACGGGTGTGGCTGAAATATCTGAATCCACTAATTTGATTCCATATGTGTTATTTCATAGTTTTGATGTCTTCACTATTATTCTACAATGTAAAAATTTTAAAAATAAAAACCCTTGAATGAGTAGGTGTGTCCAAACTTTTGACTGGTTGTGTATACACATGTAAACAGGAGTACTGGAGTCATTGACATAGATATATACATGTAAACAGGAGTACTGGAGTCATTGAGGTAGATATATACATGTAAACAGGAGTACTGGAGTCATTGAGGTAGATATATACATGTAAACAGGAGTACTGGAGTCATTGAGGTAGATATATACATGTAAACAGGAGTACTGGAGTCATTGACATAGATATATACATGTAAACAGGAGTACTGGAGTCATTGTGGTAGATATATACATGTAAACAGGAGTACTGGAGTCATTGAGGTAGATATATACATGTAAACAGGAGTACTGGAGTCATTGAGGTAGATATATACATGTAAACAGGAGTACTGGAGTCATTGAGGTAGATATATACATGTAAACAGGGGTACTGGAGTCATTGAGGTAGATATATACATGTAAACAGGAGTACTGGAGTCATTGAGGTAGATATATACATGTAAACAGGAGTACTGGAGTCATTGAGGTAGATATATACATGTAAACAGGGGTACTGGAGTCATTGAGGTAGATATATACATGTAAACAGGAGTACTGGAGTCATTGACATAGATATATACATGTAAACAGGAGTACTGGAGTCATTGTGGTAGATATATACATGTAAACAGGAGTACTGGAGTCATTGAGGTAGATATATACATGTAAACAGGAGTACTGGAGTCATTGAGGTAGGTATATACATGTAAACAGGAGAACTGGAGTCATTGAGGTAGATATATACATGTAAACAGGAGTACTGGAGTCATTGAGGTAGATATATACATGTAAACAGGGGTACTGGAGTCATTGAGGTAGATATATACATGTAAACAGGGGTACTGGAGTCATTGAGGTAGATATATACATGTAAACAGGGGTACTGGAGTCATTGAGGTAGATATATACATGTAAACAGGAGTACTGGAGTCATTGAGGTAGATATATACATGTAAACAGGAATAAAAGTGACTGAAGATGCTGGTACTAGTATTAGTAATGTGAGGAAAAATGTTACTGGCCAAATTCAAGTACTACACAGGGTATGATTCTGATGATTTAATTATGTCTAACAGTTTAACTGTTGTGGTTGTTCATCTCCAGATCCAGTTAAATACCCTCCTCAACTACCACCCAGGAACTTCTCAGGAGGGCTGTCAGCCAATGACAGTAAAGAGACCCATGGTGGGGAGTCCCAGGGTTCAGAGCTGGCCTGTGCTTCCCTGATAGACACATACCGACAGAGGCTGCAACATGTGGACATGTCTAAGTATGCCTCGGTCTGGGCCCACAAAGCGTCTCAGAGTGCCGATCTAGGATCAGGTCCCACCTATCCATGTCATCTTATTCATTATGATAAGGCAAAACTGATCCCAGATCAACACTCTTTTGAGACACCGAGACACTTCTCATTCTACTATGAGCTGCAAAATGCTGCTCAAGTGTCTCCGGTAGTATTGTGTTACCCAGCTGCCAATCTTTTACTCAGGTACCAACAAACTAATCACACTGACTGATAATTCATTGTGTCTTCCAGCCTGCCGGAAGAGCACCAACAATCCATCCAGGAATACTTCCACACCTCACTGTGTCTCGATGCTGAGCAAGCCCAGAATGGGAATCTCAACCTCCCCCATCTGAAGAAGCTCACTATGGGAATCTGCAAACAACTAAACAGGTACCGGTAGACTTACTGACGATAGCTAGCTACAGGGGTGTCCCAAATTGTTGCCACCCTTGCTGTGGTGGCCGCTGATTGGCTGAATATACCCCCAGGTGGTTAGAGAAGCATGACAGAAATATGATGCCAAGTTTTTATTGCCACCCTTGATAAAGATTAGCAATGATGACTGTATAAAATAAATAATTCAAATACTGGGCTACATTCTATGCAAAAAGAAAAAAGGGGAAATTATAATATTTTATCCTAATATAATTGTACTAATACAATTGTACTAATATAATTGCTCAGAAAAATAGATTTTGTTTAACAAGTAAAAGAAAAATTCTCAAAATTATTGACAGCCCTAAATATTCTTATAAATAAAGTCATCAAAAGTGTAGTATTTGGTCACATATTTCTAGCACACGATGACTACTTTACCAATAACAGGGCAGGTTAGCATGTCTTGGGGGTATGAGCTAACCTCTCACCATTACCAATAACAGGGCAGGTTAGCATGTCTTGGAGGTATGGTCTTTGACCCTCTAACTTTTTCACTCATCAATATTCATGATTCATTCAGAATTATCCGTAATCATGGTAGCATCCACATTCATATTTAGAAACATATTATATTCTTACTTACAACAAAAGTGACTCCAAAATGACACAATACATTATTTACCGTTAATTTCTATTGGGGACAATATAATCTGAAACACAACCAAAACTAACAGCAAATGCTTCCAACAAGTTTGTAGATTCACAAGCTTGATGTAGTCATTGAGTGCTAAGAATATGGGACCAAATAATAAACTTTTGACTACTTTATTTATACAGTGAGTATCTTTAGGTGTGTCAATAATTTTGACCCCTACTTTTTTTTAAAATAAGTATTACTTGTTAAGTTATTATGCCCCATGTCATGTGTCAGTGTGTAGCGGTAGGACGGAGTCAGGCGCAGGACACAGAACTTAGTCAACGACGTACTTTACTTGTCACAAGTAAATAAACATATCTTCCACGTAGGGAAGAAAATACAGACTCACATGTCAATGACAACACAACAACGAACAATCACGCACAACACCATGAGGCAATAGGACCTCAGAAACCTACCCACATCCTGGTTGACTCTCTCCACCTGCCCATTACTCTCGGGGTGAAACCCTGAGGTCAGGCTGATCGAGACCCCCAGACCGTCCATGAACGCCCTCCAGACCCTTGATGTGAACTGGGAACCCCGATCAGACACTATATCCTCAGGTACCCCGTAGTGCCGGAAGACGTGAGTAAACAGGGCCTCCGCAGTCTGTAGGGCCGTAGGGAGACCGGGCAAAGGAATGAGACGGCAGGACTTAGAAAACCGATCCACAACGACTAAGATCGTGGTATTCCCTTGTGACGGGGGGAGGTCCGTAACGAAATCCACCGATAGGTGTGACCACGGCCGTTGTACAGACCAGGTTCCCAGATCTCACCCCGTGGGGTCAAAATGATCACAAGAACGGTGAGCAAAAATCCCAGAACCACACGGGGGGACCTAGTGAATGACCTGCAGAGAGCTGGGACCAAAGTAACAAAGCCTACCATCAGTAACACACTACGCCGCCAGGGACTCAAATCCTGCAGTGCCAGACGTGTCCCCCTGCTTAAGCCAGTACATGTCCAGGCCCGTCTGAAGTTTGCTAGAGTGCATTTGGATGATCCAGAAGAGGATTGGGAGAATGTCATATGGTCAGATGAAACCAAAATAGAACTTTTTGGTAAAAACTCAACTCGTCGTGTTTGGAGGACAAAGAATGCTGAGTTGCATCCAAAGAACACCATACCTACTGTGAAGCATGGGGGTGGAAACATCATGCTTTGGGGCTGTTTTTCTGCAAAGGGACCAGGACGACTGATCCGTGTAAAGGAAAGAATGAATGGGGCCATGTATCGTGAGATTTTGAGTGAAAACCTCCTTCCATCAGCAAGGGCATTGAAGATGAAACGTGGCTGGGTCTTTCAGCATGACAATGATCCCAAACACACCGCCCGGGCAACGAAGGAGTGGCTTCGCAAGAAGCATTTCAAGGTCCTGGAGTGGCCTAGCCAGTCTCCAGATCTCAACCCCATAGAAAATCTTTGGAGGGAGTTGAAAGTCCGTGTTGCCCAGCGACAGCCCCAAAACATCACTGCTCTAGAGGAGATCTGCATGGAGGAATGGGCCAAAATACCAGCAACAGTGTGTGAAAACCTTGTGAAGACTTACAGAAAACGTTTGACCTGTGTCATTGCCAACAAAGGGTATATAACAAAGTATTGAGAAACTTTTGTTATTGACCAAATACTTATTTTCCACCATAATTTGCAAATAAATTCATTAAAAATCCTACAATGTGATTTTCTGGATTATTTTCTCTCATTTTGTCTGTCATAGTTGACGTGTACCTATGATGAAAATTACAGGCCTCTCTCATCTTTTTAAGTGGGAGAACTTGCACAATTGGTGGCTGACTAAATAATTTTTTCCCCCACTGTATATGAGAATATCATCTATATACACACACCATTACACTCTGTCCGTGCAGGTCCCTGAAAATCTCATCGACAAAGGATTGGAAGACTGATGGAGCATTCATCAACCCGTACGGCATGACGATGTACTCATAGTGCCCAGAGGTGGTACTAAATGCCGTCTTCCACTCATCCCCTTCCCGGATACGCACCAGGATGTGCGCGCTCCTGAGATCCAATTTGGTGAAGAAGCGCACCCCTTGCAATGACTCCGTCATACTAGCAATGAGAGGTAGTGGATAACTGTACTTCACCGTTATCTGATTGAGACCTCGATAGTCAATGCACGGGCGTAAACCTCCATCCTTCTTCTTCACAAAAAAAGAAACTTGAGGACGCAGGGGAAGTGGAAGGCCGAATGTATCCCTGTCCCAGAGATTCGGAGACATATGTTTCCATAGCCGCCGTCTCTTCCATAGCCCCCTGTCGATGGGGTGGTAATTGAGTCGCCTTCCTTTTACTGAAGGCGAGAGCCAAATCGGCATATTCGGGGGGAAGGTGCATCGTGGAGACATGGTTTGGACTCTCCACCGTAGTTGCACCTACGGAAACCCCTACACACCTCCTCGAGCACTGACGGGACCATCCTTTGAGAGCCCTCTGTTGCCACGAAATATTGGGGTTATGAGAGGCTAACCAGGGAATCCCCAACACCACTGGAAACGCAAGAGAATCGATCAGGAAGAGACGAATTCTCTCCTCGTGACCCTCCTGCGTTTTCATCCAGAGTGGAGCTGTGACCTCCCTAATCAGGCCTGACCCTAAAGGGCGACTATCTAAGGCATGTATAGGGAAGGGCACATCAACAGGCACAATAGGGATCCCTAATCTATGTGCAAATAGACGGTCCATAAAATTCCCAGCTGCGCCTGAATCTACGAGCGCCTTATGCGGGGAAAACTCCGGAAATTCTATGTGAACACACATGTGCGCAACAGGGAGGTCTGGGTGAGTCGGGTGCCTACTCACCTGGGATGGTCCACCAGTGCTCTGCCTGCTGCCTCGACTCCCTGAGGACCCTTCCCAGCAGTGTGTCCTCTGCGGCCACAGTTGGTGCAGAAAACAGCCCCCCCTTCCGGTCACCCTTAGATCGGCACCTCCGAGCTCCATCGGTGTAAATCAAATCAAATCAAATTTTATTGGCCACATGCACTGAATACAACAGGTGCAGACATTACAGTGAAATGTAATAGGGTCGGAAGTGCTGGGGAATGGACTGGACGGACCCTCATCCGGACGTCCGCGGGTGGCCAACAGGTTATCCAGTCGTATCGATAAATCCACCAGCTGGTCCAGGTTAAGGGTGGTGTCCCTGCAGGCCAGCTCCCGACGAACGTCCTCCCGTAGGCTGCATGGGTAATGGTTGATCAGGGCCCTCTCATTCCATGCCGCGCTGGCTGCCAAGGTCCTGAAGTCCAGTGCGCTCCTCTTCCCCTGTCTGAGGTGGAACAACCGTTCCCCCGCCGCTCCCTCCTCCAGTGGATGATCAAATACCGCCCGGAAACGGCGGGTGAAATCTTCATAGCGCACCGATGCCGCGTCTATTCCTCCCCACTCAGCGCAGGCCCACTCGAGCGCTTTCCCCGACAGACATGCGATGAGGGCGGACACGCTCTCGTATCCCGAGGGAGCCGGGTGGATGGTTGCCAGGTAGAGCTCCACCTGGAGCAGAAACCCCCTGGCACCCGGCAGCTGTTCCGTCATATGCCCTCGGGAGCGAGAGCCGAATCCCACTGGATCCAGGTGGTGAAGGGGTGGACAGGGGTGTGGAGTGAATAGTAGTGGAAGGAGGTGTAGAAATCCCACCCCCCCTCTCCCATCGCTCCATAGTCTGTACCACTCGATCCATGGCTGTGCCAAGAGTCTGTAGCATGGTCGAGTGCTGCTGGATGCGTTCCTCCACTGATCCTGGAGGAATGGATGTACCTGGTGACTCCATAATGGTGCGTGATTCTGTCATGCGTCAGTGTGTAGCGGTAGGACGGAGTCAGGCGCAGGACACAGAACTTAGTCAACGACGTACTTTACTTGTCACAAGTAAATAAACACATCTTCCACGCAGGGAAGAAAATACAGACTCACATGTCAATGACACCACAACAACGAACAATCACGCACAACACCCATGAGGGAACCAGAGGGTAAAATAGGGAAACAAATTATCGTAATTGGAACCAGGTGTGTGCAAAATAGACAAAACAAGTAGAACACAGATCGGTGGCAGCTAGTACTCCGGTGACGACGAACGCCGAAGCCTGCCCAAGCAAGGAGGAGGGGCAGCCTCGGCTGAATTCGTGACACCCCCAGCCTATGGAATAGCCTGCCAGAGAATCTGAGGGGGGCCGAAACTGTGGACATATTTAAAAGAGATCTTAAAACACATATTTTTAGCTTTGCTTTTCCTCAGGGTGTTTTTAGTCATTCAGTTTCTCATTCTTTTGTTTTTTATCTTATGTTTGTTGTGTAGTAAATATATATATCTATTTTTTCCCTGTAAAGCACATTTTGTTGCTTTCTATGTCTGAAATGTGCTGTATAAATAAAGCTTGATTTTTGGGAGCATACAATATTGCTCAGTATTTGAATTATTTATTTTATACATTCATTATTGCTCATCTTTATCAAGGGTGGCAATAATTCCGGACCCCACTCACTCAGCATTCACCGTTAACAGTAGGGTTGGGGTCAATTCCATTTCGATTGAGTCAATTCATGGAAATAAACTTAATAGGAATGGAATTGATTGACTCCAACCCTGGTAAACAACAACATTTGATTAACCCTAACCCTTGTGGGATGAATGAAGTATTTTGAGTTGAATTAACGTTTTCTGGTGCTCCTGTGTTGTGTCAGCGAGATCTCCCGTACCCTGCCCACTCTGGAGGTCATTCAGAGGCTTCTGGACCAGCAGCTTTCCCCAGGGTTCGGCCGACTGAGAAGTCAGGTTGGTTGTTATTATGATTAACTTATATTAGCCATCATTTTAACATCAACATTCAGTAAGGAGATGGGACAGTATGAGCTGCATTCGAGATCTTATTATTTTTGCATCAGTATTCAATAAGGAAACGGGTCGGTATGAGGATCCATTCTAGACTAGAGGGTATTTTGTCTTTCTGTAAAATGAGTGACAATGCTGCGTGATTGTAGGTATATGGATGCTACATGGTTGCAGGTGGCTATTATTAACCCTTTATCAGACACTTCTGTTTAGTTTTACTGTCATCTCTGGTCTAGTGTACGGTATTTATATAATCTCTGGTCTAGTGTACGGTATTTATATAATCTCTGGTCTAGTGTACAGTATATATATCATCTCTGGTCTAGTGTACAGTATTTATATAATCTCTGGTCTAGTGTACAGTATTTATATCATCTCTGGTCTAGTGTACAGTATTTATATAATCTCTGGTCTAGTGTACAGTATTTATATAATCTCTGGTCTAGTGTACAGTATTTATATCATCTCTGGTCTAGTGTACAGTAGTTATATCATCTCTGGTCTAGTGTACAGTATTTATATCATCTCTGGTCTAGTGTACAGTATTTATATCATCTCTGGTCTAGTGTACAGTATATATGTGCACGCACCCTACGAATAGAATGTCATGTTTCCAATTTGTTGCTTTCAAATCCTTTGTGTTTCTAATGATATGCCCTGTGTGATGCGCTGAAGTCTGCCTCTGCGCTATTCTTGGTTTTATGTTGAATTCACGTTTCTGCTTTTAATTTCTAGGTGTCAGCAGATTCAGGTCAAGCTGTGTCATTCAGGCTGGAACAAATCACCAAGCTGCTCTACTCCGTCGAGGAGAAGGTAATGTCCTAACGCTATTCTAAACTTAGGACCTGTCCCAAAATGGCACCCTATTCCCTACGTAGTGCACTACTTTCGATCAGGGCCCCATAGAGCTCTGGTCAAAAGTAGTGCACTATATAGGGAATAGGGTGCCATTTTGGGACGTAAACTTATTCTGAAACTAGAGCTTGTTCATTTTATATTTCAATCAATCATTAAACTGACCCCCCCTGGTGTAGATGATCTCTCGTATGTTGTGACGTCGTTCCTGTTACACTTTGACAAACCAAACCAGGACAGAAACACTTCACTTAAAGGAGTAGTGCTTCCTTCACTTAAAGGAGTAGTGCTTCCTTTTGACATTACTGGAAGTTCCCTTTTCAGGCCAAAGCTGCTGTGTTTGAGTCGGTGGGATATGAAGGAGGCCACAGGAGGTCTCTGATACCACCTATTACATTCGAGGTAAGTGAACTAATACGATACTGCAGCCAATAGCCAACTACCATTGTGTTTCACGATAACAATGTCACCCATCATACTGTATTACCAAAGGCATAGCGGATAACAAAACTTGCCCGAAACAAAAATAATTTATCTCTATTATCATTGGGGTAAACTGCAAATTGTCTTTGCATGGTTTAATTGCAATTCCTTTAATTGCAAATTCTTCTTTGCAGGTTAAATCAGAGTTGCTCGGTCTCACAACCAAGATGTTCCTCAAGGTGGATGTGGAAAGTGGGAAGATATACTTCAAGAAATACAAAGACGGGCCAGAAGACAAATACTTTGTACACAATAAAAGTAAGTACTCTATTCCTCCTATAATCGGAAAAGAGCGTTTCTATCTTGCAATCAAGCAATCAAGAAGCAACTCAAATTGCGTGCAAGTTTCATCGTGTAACGGCAGCCCTGGTTAAAATGTAGTGCCATATAAAGGGAATAAATCATTTGGGAAGCAATCTAAGACTCTAGTTGATGTAGCCCTAATCTATGTAACGTGTAGTCTTACAGCTGGTGAAGTCCCAGAAAGTTGCCAAGCTGGTGGTCGTGGTGGAGACGGAGAAGGAGAAGACTCTGAGGAAAGAGTTTGTCTTCGACGACACAAAGGTAAAAACCTCAGAGGAAGAATACGGCGCCTTCAGAAAGTATTCATACCCCTTGACCTATTCCACATTTTGCTGTTTTACAGCCTGAATTTGAAATGGATTCAATAGATTTTAGAATTGTTTTTAGAATTGTTTGCAAATTTATTAAAAATTAAACACAGAAATATCTCATTTACATAAGCGATTACAGCTGAGAGTTTTTCTGGATAAGTCTGTAAGAGCTTTCCACACCTGGATTCTGCAACACTTGCCCATTATTATTTTCAAAATTCTTCAAGCTCGGTTGTTGATCTTTGCTAGACAGCCATGTTCAGGTCTTGCCATAGATTTTCAAGTAGATTTAAGTCAAAACTGTAACTCGGCCTCTCAGGAACAGTCACTGTTTTCTTGCTAAGCAACTCCAGTGTAGATTTGGCCTTGTGTTTTAGGTTATTGTCCTGCTGAAAGATAAATTCATCTCCCAGAGTCTGGTGGAAAGCAGACTGAACCAGGTTTTCCTCTAGGATTTTGCTTATACTTACAGTAGCTCCATTCCGTTTCTTTTTAACCTGAAAAGCTCACCAGTCCTTAACGATTACAAGCATACCCATAACATGATGCAGCCACCACTATGCTTGAAAATATGGAGAGTGGTACTCAGTGATGTGTTGTGTTGGATTTTCCCCAAACATAATGCTTTGTATTCAGGACAAAAAGTTCATTTCTTTGCCACATTTTTTGCAGTATTACTTTAGTGCCTTGTTGCAAACAGGATGCATGTTTTGGAATATTTTTTATTCCGTACAGGCTTCCTTCTTTTCACTCTGTAATTTAGGTTAGTGTTGTGGAGTAACTACAATGTTGCTGATCCATCCTCAGTTTTAAAGTCACCATTGGCCTCATGGTGAAATCCCTGAGCGGTTTCCTTCTTCTACGGCAACTGAGTTAGGAAGGACGCCTGTATCTTTGTAGTGACTGGGTGTATTGATACACCATCCAAAGTGTAATTAATAACTTCACCACGCTCAAAGGGATATTCAATGTCTGCTTTTTTTTATCCATCTACCGATAGGTGCCCTTCTTTGCGAGGCATTGGAAAACCTCCCTGGTCTTTGTGGTTGAATCTGTGTTTGAAACACTATTATTACACACAGAGTCCATACAACTTAAATAATAATAATATAATAATAGTAATATGCCATTTAGCAGACGCTTTTATCCAAAGCGACTTACAGTCATGCGTGCATACATTTTTACGTATGGGTGGTCCCGGGGATCGAACCCACTACCTTGGCGTTCCACGCCGTGCTCTAAACACTGAGCTACAGTAGGAACCACGAGGGTTAATCTTATTGACTCAAGACATTCAGCTTTTCATTTAATGTCGAAGGACAGCATGTCCACTTTGACATTATGGGCATTGTTGTAGCCATGACCAAAAAAATCAACATTGAATCCATTTTAAATTCTGCTGTAACAACAAATTGAAAAGTCAAGCGCTCTTTGACATTGGACACAAGCTTGTTTATGTTTAACTGTGTGGACACTATTATTACATGAGTTGTTAAGTGATATAGTGTAATAATGTGATGTGTTTGTCGGTGTGGTTTGTGTAGTTGGTGTGTTTGTGTGTGTGGTGTGGGTGGGGTGTGTGTTGGTGTTAGGTGTGTGTGAGCTAAGGGAGAAGTGTGTGGTGTGTGTGTGTTGTAGTTGTGGTGTGTGTGTGTTGTTATGTGAGCTAGTTTTTGTATGGGGTTGTGTGTTGTGTCTGTGCCTGTTGTCTGTGTATTGGTGTGTGGTGTGGTGTGTGTGTGGTGTGTGTGTGTGTTGTGTGTGTGTGTGTGGGTGTGTGTGTGTGTGTGTGTGTGTGTGTGTGTGTGTGGTGGTGTGTGTCTGGTGTGTGTGTGTGTGTGGTGTGTGTGTGTGTCTGGGGTGTGTGTGTGTGTGTGTGTGTGTGTGTGTGTGCGTGCGGTGTGTGTGTGTGTGTGCGTGTGCGTGTGTGTGTTAGAAAAGAGAGGGATTTTGCCAACTCCTTCAGCAGATGAAGAACAAACACTCAGACAAGCCTGAGCCAGACATGATCACTGTGTTCGTTGGCACCTGGAATATGGGTAAAATGGCTACCTTCAATGTTTACATTAACTAAAATACATAGAATAATGTACCTAGTGCTTCAATTTGTTGATAATAAATACTTTATTGATCAATATCGATATTGCTACTTCAGCTCAGTCTATAATTATTTTGCTCAAGAACTCAACAGCTAATTACGCATTGCCCAATAAACAATTGATTGATTGATAATTACCTCTCCCCCCCCCCCCCAGGTAATGCCAGTCCCCCCCACAGCATAGCATCCTGGTTCCAGTGTAAGGGTCAGGGCAAGACCAGGGATGACACGGCCGACCACATCCCTCATGACATCTATGTGATCGGGACTCAGGAAGATCCCCTGGGGGAGAAGGAGTGGATGGACACACTGAAGAGTGCTCTGAGAGGAACCACCAACATCAGCTTCAAACAAGTCAGTGATTATCTCAACACTCAGGGCCAGTTTCCCGGATACATATTAAGCCTAGTCCTTGGACTACAAAGCACTTTCAATTGAGATTTTCCATTGCGTTTGCTAGACTTAATCTGAGGTACTAGGCTTAACCTGAGTTCGGGAAACCACCCCTTAAAATATAGTTACTTGTAACTTCTGATTTCTACACTGGTATGAGGCAGGCTACACATTACCACTAATCTCCTCCACCAGCCGGCTCTATACAGTGGGGGAAAAAAGTATTTAGTCAGCCACCAATTGTGCAAGTTCTCCCACTTAAAAAGATGAGAGAGACCTGTAATTTTCATCATAGGTACACGTCAACTATGACAGACAAAATGAGAAAAAATTATCCAGAAAATCACATTGTAGGATTTTTAATGAATTTATTTGCAAATTATGGTGGAAAATAAGTATTTGGTCAATAACAAAAGTTTCTCAATACTTTGTTATATACCCTTTGTTGGCAATGACACAGGTCAAACGTTTTCTGTAAGTCTTCACAAGGTTTTCACACACTGTTGCTGGTATTTTGGCCCATTCCTCCATGCAGATCTCCTCTAGAGCAGTGATGTTTTGGGGCTGTCGCTGGGCAACACAGACTTTCAACTCCCTCCAAAGATTTTCTATGGGGTTGAGATCTGGAGACTGGCTAGGCCACTCCAGGACCTTGAAATGCTTCTTACGAAGCCACTCCTTTGTTGCCCGGGCGGTGTGTTTGGGATCATTGTCATGCTGAAAGACCCAGCCACGTTTCATCTTCAATGCCCTTGCTGATGGAAGGAGGTTTTCACTCAAAATCTCACGATACATGGCCCCATTCATTCTTTCCTTTACACGGATAAGTCGTCCTGGTCCCTTTGCAGAAAAACAGCCCCAAAGCATGATGTTTCCACCCCCATGCTTCACAGTAGGTATGGTGTTCTTTGGATGCAACTCAGCATTCTTTGTCCTCCAAACACGACGAGTTGAGTTTTTACCAAAAAGTTCTATTTTGGTTTCATCTGACCATATGACATTCTCCCAATCCTCTTCTGGATCATCCAAATGCACTCTAGCAAACTTCAGACGGGCCTGGACATGTACTGGCTTAAGCAGGGGGACACGTCTTGCACTGCAGGATTTGAGTCCCTGGTGGCGTAGTGTGTTACTGATGGTAGGCTTTGTTACTTTGGTCCCAGCTCTCTGCAGGTCATTCACTAGGTCCCCCCGTGTGGTTCTGGGATTTTTGCTCACCGTTCTTGTGATCATTTTGACCCCACAGGGTGAGATCTTGCGTGGAGCCCCAGATCAAGGGAGATTATCAGTGGTCTTGTATGTCTTCCATTTCCTAATAATTGCTCCCACAGTTGATTTCTTCAAACCAAGCTGCTTACCTATTGCAGATTCAGTCTTCCCAGCCTGGTGCAGGTCTACAATTTTGTTTCTGGTGTCCTTTGACAGCTCTTTGGTCTTGGCCATAGTGGAGTTTGGAGTGTGACTGTTTGAGGTTGTGGACAGGTGTCTTTTATACTGATAACAAGTTCAAACAGGTGCCATTAATACAGGTAACGAGTGGAAGACAGAGGAGCCTCTTAAAGAAGAAGTTACAGGTCTGTGAGAGCCAGAAATCTTGCTTGTTTGTAGGTGACCAAATACTTATTTTCCACCATAATTTGCAAATAAATTCATAAAAAATCCTACAATGTGATTTTTTGGATAATTTTTTCTCAATTTGTCTGTCATAGTTGACGTGTACCTATGATGAAAATTACAGGCCTCTCTCATCTTTTTAAGTGGGAGAACTTGCACAATTGGTGGCTGACTAAATACTTTTTTCCCCCACTGTATGTGGTTGCAATTAAGCCTGGGGACATTACATTAAAACAAGTGCCAGTGACTGTCAGATTGTAATAGAATTCACCATAAGGAATGATTAATGTGTGTTTTATTGTAATTATTCTGCGTTATATTTTGTTCAGATAGCCATCCAAACCCTATGGAACATCCGCATCGTTGTGCTAGCCAAGCCAGAGCACGAAAACAGAATCTCACACATCTTTTCAGACAGCGTCAAGACAGGGATCGCCAACGCACTGGGTAAGTCCCATCAGCTCACTGCAGACCCATCAACTCACTGCAGAACCATCAACTCACTGCAGAACCATCAGCTCACTGCAGACCCATCAACTCACTGCAGAACCATCAACTCACTGCAGAACCATCAGCTCACTGCAGACCCATCAACTCACTGCAGACCCATCAACTCACTGCAGACCCATCAACTCACTGCAGACCCATCAACTTACTGCAAAACCATCAGCTCACTGCAAAACCATGAGCTCACTGCAGAACCATCAACTCAATGCAGAACCATCAACTCACTGCAGACCCATCAACTCACTGCAGACCCATCAACTCACTGCAGACCCATCAACTCACTGCAGACCCATCAACTCACTGCAGACCCATCAACTCACTGCAGACCCATCAACTCAATGCAGAACCATCAACTCAATGCAGAACCATCAACTCAATGCAGAACCATCAACTCACTGCAGAACCATCAACTCAATGCAGAACCATCAACTCAATGCAGACCCATCAACTCACTGCAGACCCATCAACTCACTGCAGACTCTTTGGGCCAGTTTCCCGGACACAGATGAAGGCTAGTCCTGGACTAAAAAGCATGGTGAATGGAGATTCTCCATTGAAATTGTTTTTTAGTCCAAGACTAGCCTTAATCTGTGTCCGGGAAACTGTCCCTCTTTAATAACAACCTAGACGATGAAATGCACAACTAGTAGAGAGGCCCAACGTTACATCCAGGTGCTTTTTGTTTATCTTCCAGGAAATAAGGGAGCAGTGGGTGTGTCCTTCATGTTCAACGGTACTTCCTTTGGCTTTGTCAACAGTCACCTGACTTCGGGGAGCGAGAAGAAGATCAGGTGAGCTACAGGGATTTAAAATGGCTGACAAATTACGTAAATCAGAATGTAACACTCCTTTAGCATTTTAAATTGTTCTGACCCCTAGAAACCAGTTTGCATTGAAAGCTAAATGAAGTGAAATCAAAAAGTGTATTGATTCCACTGACTCAATATCAGTACATTTAGCATCTCCTCAAAATGCCACTAAACTCTCACAAGGTTTTTTTGTTTGTTTATGCTCCAGTATTGTTTAGGATGTCTGTTGTTATTTGTGGCCTGTCTGCTCTATGTCTTGAGCAGCCTTTAACTGTTTCTGTTCATTTCTGTTTGATTTTTAAAAAAAGGAACACAAAGATATGAGTCTGCATATTGCAGAAAATAGCTAAATGTGAGAAAAGAAGATTCCACATCTCTTCATATCTCAACTACTTGAAAGCAAGACATTTATTTTCTCAACATTTGTTCTCTTGCCAGACGCAACCAAAATTACGTCAGCATCCTACGCTTCTTGAATCTTGGAGATAAGAAACTGAACCCATTTGACATCACACATCGATTCACTCATCTGTTCTGGCTTGGGGATCTGAATTATCGAATTGAATTGCCATCCACAGTAAGTTGAACTAGTTTGGCAGTTAACATTGGATGTGGAGATTGTAAAAAACGACTGGGACTCTAACCCGGGTCCAGCGACTGTCAACTCAACCTTAACCGTTATGCTAAGAGATCTGAACTTTTTGAAGAGTTTGTGTTGGGTTAAGGTCGCTACACTATCAACAACTATCAACTGCTTTATCAACAACTCTCAGCCACTGCTAGTCTGAATTTGTATTAATGTGCTTATTGAATGTGTTGTTACATACCAAGCAAGTAAGCATAAGCAAGCAAGCTGTTACTTGGACACACACTTGTGTAAAGGACACAGCGGCCCACCTGTCCGGTGCATGAAACAGTAGTTGCATCCCAAATGGCAACCTATTCCCTATGTAATGCACTACTTTTGACCAGAGGAGTGCACAACTTTTTTTTTTTACCAAGGGCCCCCGGTCTACAGTAGTTCACTATATAGGGATTAGGGTGCCATTTGGAACAGGCCCAGCATGCAGTTCCTGTTCCCTATTTTTCTAGCAGCAGTAAGGATAAATGGAGACTGTGCTGGGCTGCTGACATCACTGTGCAGGAAGAGAGAGCAGCTACTTTGCATTGTGTTCCCTTACAGGAAGCAGAGAACATTGTGACCAAGATCAAACAGCAGCAGTACCAGGAACTGCTGTGTAAAGACCAGCTCACCATTGAGAGGGGAGAAGAGAAGGTCTTCCTACACTATGGTGAGACATGGCCACTAGCAACATGCATTCTGTCACAGCTAACTATGCCTAAAGCAAATTCAACTTCACTAGGCTATATGATGTGTATGAAAAAATGTGAGGATAAATTGATGGTCATTGATAAGTGATTTTGATTAAAGTAATGCATTTCCATGCCAAAGCCTACAGTATGTTAGCCTTGGTAAACTATAGGCTAACTAGCCCTACCAGAGAGTAAACTATAGGCTAACTAGCCCCAGAGCCATGACTAACTAGCCCTACCAGAGAGTAAACTATAGACTAACTAGCCCTACCAGAGAGTAAACTATAGGCTAACTAACCCTACCAGAGAGTAAACTATAGGCTAACTAACCCTACCAGAGAGTAAACTATAGGCTAACTAGCCCTACCAGAGAGTAAACTATAGGCTAACTAACCCTACCAGAGAGTAAACTATAGGCTAACTAGCCCTACCAGAGAGTAAACTATAGGCTAACTAACCCTACCAGAGAGTAAACTATAGACTAACTAGCCCTACCAGAGAGTAAACTATAGGCTAACTAACCCTACCAGAGAGTAAACTATAGGCTAACTAGCCCTACCAGAGAGTAAACTATAGGCTAACTAGCCCTACCAGAGAGTAAACTATAGGCTAACTAACCCTACCAGAGAGTAAACTATAGGCTAACTAACCCTACCAGAGAGTAAACTATAGGCTAACTAACCCTACCAGAGAGTAAACTATAGGCTAACTAACCCCAGAGCCATGACTCTATGCTAGCTAGCCCCAGAGCTATGACACTAGCTAGCCCTACCAGAGAGTCAACTATAGGCTAACTAGCCCCAGAGCCATGACTCTATGCTAGCTAGTCCCAGAGCTATGACACTAGCTAGCCCTACCAGAGAGTCAACTATAGGCACAACTAGCCATTGAGTGAACACATCTATGTTTGCCTCTGAAAACTATAGGCTAACTAGCCCTACCAGAGAGTATTTATGCTCTGAAGTGCTCATGCTTTTGTCATGGAAATGTTATTGTGCCAAATTTTGCCTGCTTGAAGTTGAGTTCACCACAACATGTAACAAGACGTAGAGAAAGTTGAATTCACCACAACATGTAACAAGATGTAGACGGAAGCAAAACTGTTACATAGAGATAGTTGAGTTCACCACAACATGTAACAACGTGTAGAGAATGTGTGACTGTATGAAGATTGTGTACACTCTTTTGTCTATATTCTGTCTGTATATTGTTAATTATAAGACGATGTCAGCACCACTTCCTGGTACATGTAAATGTAATTGGCAAATAATGGTGATTCTGACATCTTTCTCTTTTTATTTAATCTCATCACAGACGAGGAGGAGATCACATTCGCGCCCACGTATCGTTTCGAGAGAGACACACGCGAGAGATACGCCTACACCAAGGCCAAAGCCACGGGGGTAGGTTTTAACTGTGTATGTTTCCTGAGATGCTGTGTCCCTGTATGACCCTCATACAGTAGAGGAAATAAGCAAATATCTGAGCGCACAAGTCCACAGCTTCGCTGTTTATTATTTTACCCAGGGGCAGCAGGTGGCTTAGTGGTTAAGAGCGTTGTGCCAGTAACCGTAAAGGTCGCTGGTTCTAATCCCCCGAGCCGACTAGGTGAAAAATCTGTCGATGTGCCCTTGAGCAAGGCACTTAACCCTAATTGCTCATGTAAGTCGCTCTGTATAAGAGCTTCTGCTAAATGTCTAGAATGTTCTCAGCCACTAAACAATGGCAACGTCCCAAATGGCATCCTATTCAGGGGCTCTGGTCAAAAGTAGTGCACTATATAGGGAATAGGGTGCCATTCTCTGGTCTAAAGTAGTGCACTATATAGGGAATAGGGTGCCATTCTCTGGTCTAAAGTAGTGCACTATATAGGGAATAGGGTGCCATTCTCTGGTCTAAAGTAGTGCACTATATAGGGAATAGGGTGCCATTCTCTGGTCTAAAGTAGTGCACTATATAGGGAATAGGGTGCCATTCTCTGGTCTAAAGTAGTGCACTATATAGGGAATAGGGTACCATTCTCTGGTCTAAAGTAGTGCACTATATAGGGAATAGGGTGCCATTCTCTGGTCTAAAGTAGTGCACTATATAGGGAATAGGGTGCCATTCTCTGGTCTAAAGTAGTGCACTATATAGGGAATAGGGTGCCATTCTCTGGTCTAAAGTAGTGCACTATATAGGGAATAGGGTGCCATTCTCTGGTCTAAAGTAGTGCACTATATAGGGAATAGGGTGCCATTCTCTGGTCTAAAGTAGTGCACTATATAGGGGAAAAGGGTGCCATTCTCTGGTCTAAAGTAGTGCACTATATAGGGAATAGGGTGCCATTCTCTGGTCTAAAGTAGTGCACTATATAGGGGAAAAGGGTGCCATTCTCTGGTCTAAAGTAGTGCACTATATAGGGAATAGGGTGCCATTCTCTGGTCTAAAGTAGTGCACTATATAGGGAATAGGGTGCCATTCTCTGGTCTAAAGTAGTGCACTATATAGGGAATAGGGTGCCATTCTCTGGTCTAAAGTAGTGCACTATATAGGGAATAGGGTACCATTCTCTGGTCTAAAGTAGTGCACTATATAGGGAATAGGGTGACATTCTCTGGTCTAAAGTAGTGCACTATATAGGGGAAAAGGGTGCCATTCTCTGGTCTAAAGTAGTGCACTATATAGGGGAAAAGGGTGCCATTTGGGATGCACACAGGGTCTCTGAAACCACTTTTTGAAAGATGGTCTTGGTCTTAGGTAGGCCTGCCATCAAACCAATGCTGATTTTCCGAAAGACAGAAATATAAATCTTTCTCCCTCACAGACTAAATATAATCTACCATCATGGTGTGATCGTGTTCTGCGGAAGTCCTACCCACTGGTGCATGTGTTCTGTCAGTCATACGGTGAGACTAATGCAATGATGATTGATTAATTGATTAATTAATTGCAATAACCAACAAAATATGTCTAATTTTAGCTAATGTTAATACCAATTATATAATTTCTCAACCTCTCTTGTAGGGTGCACCAATGACATCATGACCAGTGACCACTCTCCAGTTTTCTCCACGTTTGAAGTCGGAGTGGCATCACAGTTCGTCTCCAAGCATGGTACGGTTTCTAACTTCAATTAAGACAACTACACCATACTGGCTGTGTGACTGATGCATGAGTGTCTGACATCACTGACATTAAATGAAAAGTATTTTACAAAATGATCTGCCCTCAGAAGAAGAAGTTCTAGTGTTTTCCGACAACTGCATTTCCAAATTGTCTTTCTATCTTTCTTTCCAGATCCCAACAGTGTGTCTCAGGGTGGGATCAAGTTCATGAACTGCGTTGCCACCCTCATGACAAAGTCCAAGACCAAGTTCTTCATCGAATACCACTCCAGCTGCTTGGAGAGTAAGAATAGGCTACTTCCTTATTCGATCTGTGACCACAGTGGTCAGTGGATCATAGGATAACACTAAAAACATATCAAGTGCTCCAACTGAACTGTAGCCTCCACACTAGCCTGAGTGGTATACTACGAAGCAAGCTAGATCTACTCAGGCTTTTCTAAAGCTAGCCAGCTTAAGTTAGCTTCACATTCCAGATCAGGCTTCATCCCATACTACGATGGTGGATAATGCTCGTCCGTCTGCCGCTAACTCTAGCAGGCTTATAACTGCGTGTTGTTGCACATGACTAGTTAGAAACCGTACCATGCTTGGAGACGAACTGTGATGCCACTCCGACTTCAAACGTGGAGAAAACTGGAGAGTGGTCACTGGTCATGATGTCATTGGTGCACCCTACAAGAGAGGTTGAGAAAGACAGTATAGTATGAAGATAGGCTAAAACTGCTTCTCCAATAGAAATCCCTGATCACACTTTGTAGGCGATGTCATGGCGACGTTGGCTAGCTATGCTCATTCACAGAAACACGTCATCGGGTCTTTCGGTCATCTCGCGCCGAACTGCGCATGTGCAGGCCGTCAAAATAAAAGGCGCTCATTTTTTGATGAAAATGACAACGTGTCAGTTTGTCACGCTCACGACGTTGGAGTCATAACAAGTTCCACACTTAAGACATTGGCTCGAATCTAGGTTGTGCCTTTTAGATTTCAAGAAAATTAACAACTAAGGAAGAATATTTCACTTCTCTCATTGACTTCTCAAACCCCAAACCCCGGCCTGTTTGATCTGTTTCGCAAGCGTTTGCGGAAGTCTCGCGATGTTGCGCCTCTGGGTTTAGAAACTCTTGTGGCCGAGCTCTTCATTGAGACAGTGCTGAAACATCAATTCATGGGCAAGTCAGTGCCACATTTTAATTTGTGCCGAAATCAAAATGAAAGAAAAGTTATCTTGCAAATTCAGCAGGCTGTGGTGTGGAATAGGCTCTTAGATGTGTCGTCTTTATTTTATGACTTATTGTTAATGCCGTCTTTGGTGTTGCTTATCAATGCACAACCACCCTTTTCCCACTCCTATCTGTGGAACAGCTTGTTGTGTTGTGGCCATAGACATATAATCCATAGAAGGGTTTTGGAACCTCTTACCCTGGAAATTTGACTGTTAAACTCATAGGTACACTAGCAATGGCTGCCAGTCTATGGATTATATGTCTATGGTTGGTTGCGGCTGTCAGTTTGCCTTTTCACAAATTTCTAAATACAATTGTGCGAAGAATGTACAGTTTGGAGAGCAAATGCTGTCATTACTAAATGTGTCATGTGGTATTTTAACGTAAATATTTTTATTACACACAAAACATTTCATTCATAAAATATTTAATCAGTCGTCTTCCTCAAATGATGGGGATGATGACTCAATCTTTTGTGAGAGGGAGGAAATCTGATTTCATTGGTCCTCAACTCACAGCTCAGACATTTCATTCAGGGTAAATGGAGTCAGCACTGAGTAAACCTGCCCCGGAGCAGGTTAGTTCTGAAGGATATGTTGCCATAGACATTTACCTGGCTAAAAGGTGAGCCACTATCGTATGACCGGTTATCCCGAGTTGAACTCAGAGTTGACCAAAGTTACCTCGCTAACTCCTCCAACCCGGTATGTACCCCTCTGGTCACAGATCTGTTTGTCTTGCCATCTCCTATTGGTCATTGTCATGCCAAACTGGAATCGGCTATAGCGCACAAACAGATCTGGGACCAGGCTAACTGCATCCTGTCCACAGAATTCGTCAAGAGCTCGGAAGGAGAGAACCAAGATCACTCTGATGGGAACATCAAGGTTCGGTTTGGAAACCAAGTTGAGGTAAGTTTGACAGTGAAGCTTCTTTCAAATACAATACATACAATACTAGGCTAATTGTCTTTACAATATGGTGTATTTGACGCAATAGAGTTGTTGAGTGTCTGACCTCTTGTCTTTTTAAAGCTCGTCCCCATCATCTCAGACCCAGAGTATCTGTTGGATCAACACATCCTCCTGTGTGTCAAGTCCACAGACTGTGACGAATCCTATGGTGAGAAAGTAGGACAACTGTGGTCTGTTTTGGAGAGACTTGTTTTGAGAATGATTAGTCTGACCATCATCTTAGCTGTCAAATACTAGACAGGTTCTTGATCATACATCTCTCTTTTCCTTCAATCAACTGTAACTCCATAAAATCCTTGTCTGTTTGCATGTTTGTTACTCCATTTTTGTTCAGTATAGCTTCTCGCTGTCATCACTCTTCATGCTGTCCAAAAAGTAAAGACATGCTTTTCTTAATCCTCCTCCTCCCCTTCTCGTCCTCTCCTCTCCTCCTCCTCCCCTCCTCCTCTTGCCCCTCCCTTTCCCTCTCCTCTTCCTCCTCCTCCTCTCTCCCCTCTCCTCCTCTCTCCTTCTCTCTCTCCTTCCTCCTCTCTTCTCTCTCCTTCTCCCGTCCTCTCCCTCTCTCTCCTCCTCTTCTCTTCTCTTCCTCCTCCTCTTCTCTCCTCCTCCTCCTCTTCTCTCCTCCTCTCCTCCTCTCCTCTCTCGTTCTCTCCTCCTCTTCTCTCGTTCTCTTCTCTCCTCCTCCTCTCCTCCTCTCTCTCCTCCTCCTCCTCCTGCTCCCTGACATGGTGTCATCCCTACAGGAGAGGGCTGTGTGGCTCTGCGAGCGGCAGAGTCCTCCTACACAGAGTTCCACGTGACGCTGACGCACCATGGGGAGCGGACAGGCACCCTGACGGGGGGTGTCCAGCTACGCACCTCTGGGGGCAAACAGACCGAGAAGTTATACGGTGAGGCTGAGAACCAATGCCATACTGCACCACTGATGTCCCAACAAACATAATGTATTCTCTTGTTGCTAAACACTCCTCCTTTTTCAGATTTCATCAAAGTGGAAAGGGATGATTCTGGTGCCCCAAAAGGAAAAGGTCTCGATCACAACAACAAGTGAGAACTCTCTCTTCACTCATGACTATTTTACAAGCTTGTGATCTCCGTTAAAATTGTGAGATGAGGACATGTGGTTATTCCTCCTGTTCAATAGGTTCGCTCTTCCCCATCCTACTGATATCACCAACCCTAGTTACATGGGGGTGGGCTACAAGTCTGGAGGTGTGACAGACAGGGGCTGGAGCTACAGCATGCAGCCCAGATCAGGCTCCGGAGGTGGGGGTGGTGTCGTTGGGCATGGGGGCAAGGACCAGACCCATGGAAACATCTTTCCCAAAAAGACTGGCTACGACCACAGCGCTGTGCGAAGCCCCACTGGAAAGGCATCAGATAATGTGTACGTTTCTCTTGGACTAGCCTAGCTCTAAGAGAAAAAAATATGTACGAGTTTATAGTTTTAAAAATTCTTAGAGGCCGGTTTCCCGAACACAGATTGAACTCCTTTGAAATATATTTTCAGTCGAGGGCTAGTCTTAATCTGTGTCTGGGAGAACAACCCTTGGTAAATTGGTGGAAGGGAATTTGTTGAGGTGGTTTGACCTCTAATATGGGGACTGACATTATTTAGGCCTACTTGAAGTGGAACTGAAATGGGACTGAACTGAACAATATTACTGCTATTTTCTCACAGAGTAGACAATGTACTGAGAGTGAAGAGATTGATTGATACCCCATTGTGAGTCTGTGAAGCTGAACTCTGAATGACCTGCTTCTGCGTGTGTGTGTGTGTGTTCGCATGTCTGTCTGTCTGTCCTGTCTTCCAGAGGTGAGGACGGGAAGCCAGCGGAGATGTTTGACAACCCTCTGTACGGCTCCATGGGGAAGTCTGGAGGAGGAGCTAAAGACCCACCAGACCCTCAGTGCTCCAAGGACCACCTGACCCCTCCAGACCCCATCTTCTCCTTCCCCAAACCCTCTGACCAGGACCCTGACCGCCCCCCGGTCCCCACCCCGCGTAACCGCTCTTACACCTGTTCTGAGACCAAGCCCCTGTGTTCACCCCCCACCACCTCCCTCCACCCCCAGTCCTACACCAAGAACCCTGTGAAGCCATCGCGCTCCGAAGGTGGCATGGTACTAACGGCCAATAGGCCGCCTCTGCCCATGAAGTCCCGCCCAGGCCAGGCGGACGCCACGCCCACTAAGCCTAGAGACTACAGAGACAGCTCGGAGCTGCCCAGCAAACTCCGCCCACCTTCAAGGCCCATCCAGCCCCTCCCCAAAGGAGGTAAGACTCCAGTAACTTTCCCACTCAAGTCCAGAGGCAAGTAGCCTCTATTCAAATATCAGGCAAGTAGCCTCTGTTCAAATATCAGGCAAGTAGCCTCTGTTCAAATATCAGGCAAGTAGCCTCTGTTCAAATATCAGGCAAGTAGCCTCTGTTCAAATATCAGGCAAGTAGCCTCTGTTCAAATATCAGGCAAGTAGCCTCTGTTCAAATATCAGGCAAGTAGCCTCCGTTCACATATCAGGCAAGTTGCGTATAGCTTCTGTTATGTTTTTAAACTAAGCATACCACAGAGGAAGAGGTTCTGTACATTCATTAAACTATGTACATAGTCAACACAACAGGCTGACGAAAAGCAGCATGGTCTTTGTCTGTAATTGAAAACATTTCTCTTCCCCTTTTCCCCAGCGCTTCAGGAGACAACTCAACCCTCGAAGATGGGCCGTTCAGTGAAATGACTGTCTGCTTTGGCTGAAAAGCCATGTTGGAAATTAGATGTTGAATGGGGGCTAGTGGCAGATGACAACTCACTCCAGCTTATCACCCCTGCCCGGTCACTCCACTGCTCGTCTTCCTGACTCTCCAAACTAGTCTTTCCTTTTCCATAGGCTATAGTACTGGATCTCCATAAGACATTTTATGAATTGTCTTCATGTCTCCTCTCGTGGATTTGTAGAGTCCTCCTATAAGAAGTATCATTGTTCATTTTTGCACAAACGCTGACCACCAGAAGAACTCTTTTAAGAGTATAGGAATCATTTTGAAGACTTGCTTGCAACCATCTGAACGTTTCTTCCTTGTATCTGCTGTTTGACAAAGAGCAGTCAAATCAATACTATTAAACTAACAGGAATCAGACTCACCTGCCTCTCCATTTCTTTTGTCCTATTAATTTTTCTCATCTGCTTTGAACCTTCCTATCTGTATTACAGACAGTTACTATTCAGTTTACAACAGCCCAGTGTCCAACTATCCTTTATATATTTAAATGCTACCACCCGCTGGTATGTTGACAGTATTGCATGAGTGTGAATACATTTAGAAGCAAGTGGCCAACGTCATTGGATTGGAAAACTTTTAGCAACTGCATAGAAGATATACAAAGTATATTAATTAGCCTACTTACTCTACTCTGTCCATGAATTCATAACATAATAAAAAATAAAATAAAATAGCGTAAAATAAGATTTTATGAATGAAAATGTGAGCGCCCATTACAAATGTTTCTTCCACAATCATGACGTATTTTAAAATCGACCAATTGGTACATATGACGTCATCAACCTGAGACGAGGCAGCAGCGCTGAAAATTGAAAATGGTGAGAATATTTCGTGCTTTTGTTTGCTGTATTTTAATCGTTTTCTCTCGTTTTTAAAATGTTACAAAGCGTGTTGATAGTTATCAGCAACTCACATAGTTAAAACTGCATCTATATACAAATCAAACATGTTGTACGAACCGGTTTGAGGCCAGTGCGTGTGCTAGCATGTCTGAAGAATGAGCATGTCGTTGATTTTGCGTTTATCAGCTAGCAAAATTTTGAGCTTAGTTAGTTAGGTAGTAACTAATTACTTAGCTATAAAGAATTGTTGCCTGGAAATCCAGAAGTTACGGTCTCCTAGCTAGCGCAAGGAATACTAGGCTACTATCCAGCTAGTTAAGTCACTTAGCTAACTAATGTTAGCGATCTAGCAATTATTCATAACGCTGTAGCTAGCTAAGGTTAAATATATCTTCTGTATTGCAGCTTTTCTACTCCTTTTTCAAGTCCCTGGTGGGGAAGGACGTGGTGGTGGAGCTCAAAAATGACTTGAGGTTTGTATTATTGGCGTTCATAGCTAGCTAACGTTAGTGCATAAAGGTGGCGGAATTCAGATATTATGTTTTATAACAATAATGCATTTAACTTTTATAGCGCTTTTCATTAGACAAAATCTTAAAGCTCTTGAGCAAAATAAACAAGTAGTAATTAAAAACATTAATCTAGGCTACAATAGTAGCTAGGTGAAGTCTGAGAGCTTCTTGCAGCCGCGGTGGTCATGAGAGGATCTGGAAGCTCATAGCTAGATGTTTTAGCACATCGTTGTAAACCTACGGCCCCGTAATAATAAACCAATAAATCAGCACGATCTACTTTTTCGTGTTTTTCTCATTTTTGGCATCTTGGAGCAAAAATTGGGATCATGTATACTGTGCTAATGAAGATACAAAAAAGAATAAGAGGAATTTAGCAAACGAGTAAATGGTGGTAAGTGCATGCATTGAGGTATAAAATAACTGACGTGGATTCATTACGGAAACCGCTTAGGAAGCAAACGGAACCAAACGAGTTTATTTTGGACAAATTCAGGTAGGTCCCTCCCCTTCTCGTTCCGTTTGCTTCAGTTTAAGAAACGTTTTGCAACTGAATCAGCTAATTTTCAAATACAGAGAGTCATGGACCATCTATAGTACCCCACAGTGGAGGTGTCATAATACCCATAAAACCTAGAGGTCAAACAGGGAACTGGTTCCAGTCGTTTTTCCAGCAGTCATTTTTCCCATAGGGCATTTTAGAAACACTTACGGGCTGTCTTTCGTTTAGGCTTACCCTGGCGTGACGTTTTGCTAACCATGTAAATCTCTCTCGGACAAGGTGACTTTTATCAATATATTCGGCTTTATTTACTCTCAGATTCGAAAATGCTAATTAGCATCAAAGTAGCCATCATGCAAAACTACAAATCCCTGCAAGCTCCTGCACGTCATCTCTAGCAGACACCTTTGCACAAGACAGTTCACAAAATTGTCCATTTAATGAAATTTAGCCAATGTATTCATTACTACATTTAGCGTCTGCTAAATGATGTAAATGTACATTTAGCTAATATTAGGTAGTTACTCCAGAGATTCTTATCTTTGCCTCGATTTGCTGTCTCGTCCAGATCATGACATTTGTAGTTCTTTAGGATAGCCACATTAGCAGCTAATTAGCATTTCATTATGGGAGTGGGTAAATACAGGCAAATATATTAAAAGTCACCTTGTCCGAGAGAGATTTACACTGTTATCAAAACGTCACTCCAGGGTAAGCCTACACGAAACACAGACCTTATTTTAAGTGTTTCTAAAATCCCCTATGGGGAAAAATGAATGGTGGAAAAACGATTGGAACCATTTCACTGTTTGACCGCTAGGTTTTATGGGATTAATTGACTCATACTGTGGTACTCAATATCCGGGTTGCATCTGGTTTACGAGGCCCAACTTCACATTTAGCACTAACACTCAAGTGTGCACAGGGAGAATCGCGGGCAGCAACGACGTAATCTGAACCAGTAAAAGAGACGAATATGACACTCTCCTTTCTTCCCTGAAAGCTACCGTTCACCAGCTCTGCGAGCGTCAAGTGAAAATACGCCTGCCCTGCCTGTATCTATCGTCTTAATGCTGTTACGCTCGTTATGTACTTCCAAAACATTTCTACGACCACCTCCGGTGCCTCTTCCGGTACAAAACAATACATTGAACATTTTTCAGTTGGTTGTAAAAATGTATTTTGACATTTTGTGGAAGTACATACTGGGCATAAAGGCAGTAAATGACGATAGTTGTAGTCAGGGCATATTTGGTGAGTAGCAAACAGAGCTGGAGAACGGTAGCTTTCTGGGCAGAAAGGAGATCTCGTCATATTCATCGTCTCCTTTGCCCAGATACCGGTTCACACGTCATTCCAAAAGCATGGCAGTATATAGGTTCATATCATCGGCTGTGAGTGATGTTTTGTGCACAAAGGTGATGACTAATGTGTCTTAGGAATTTTCTAATCGGACTTCCCTATGGGGGCCATCTATGGAAATGGTCTTTCTGGGCTTGACGTCAGTTAAACTGCGGTACCGAAAGCAAGACTGTAGGAGCAGTCAAAACCGTGCTTCCAGACCTGAACCCTGGCCCCTAGTGGTTTCCACTAGTTGCCACAGTCAAAATTGGCTATACAAAAGTTTTTAATTTAAGATTAGCAGTGTGTTTTTAAGTTTAAAATCACATTTTTAAGAAGATAAATTGTAGAAATAGGTGGGGTTTATGGCTGTTTCTCTGGAAATAGCTGGTCTAACACTACAACAAAACGGAGACCCACTTGTACATAGCCGGCAGATTCGACACCTCCCGCTTGCTTACAGCTGCACTACAGGGTCGGACAGGCAGTTTGCTTAAATTATCGTCACGCCTGCTCTGCGGTGTCCCACCCTGCGGTGCAGCTGGAAGCAAGCGGGAGGTGTCGGATCTGCTGGCTAACTTGTACACTTTCCTTCATCTGATGGTTGTTTTTGTAAAGGAGGGTAACAGTCTTTGGGTAAAGCAGTTTTGTCTGCTAGGGCAGACAACAGCCTGTACAATTTTCATGGAAATTCATTTTGTAAGATAAGCATACAAAATACACAATCAATACGCAATAATACATGCAATACAAAAAACAAAACAAAAAAACTCTTGAACGTGAGCACACACACACCCTGTCAGCCCATGTCACATGGCTTTAGGAGCACGTGTGCTCCTAATGAGAAAATATAGGCGCAGGCAAAGACATTTAGGAGCACAATGAAAGGTATTTAAAGCTCGAATCTTTCATTTTTCTAGGCGCTCCTAAATTACAATTCCAGGATGCACAGAAACAATATTTAGGCGTAAAAGTAGGATAAAGAATGTAATGACAGGCTTGAAGGAAACAGAATATTTTTCGGTAAACTTTCCAAAATGTCGACAAAACAAAAAATAGCCTGGTTACCTTTTGGAATGAAGTTTGCCCTGCTTCTGTTCATACAGAAGGGCAGCAGCTCAACGTTTTGATCTAGGTGGCGGGTGGATGTCCTCGTCTCTTTCCCGTCTGTCATCGAGTCCCCGAAGCACCCTGCACTGCAAACCAAAACAATTGAAAGCTTGAGATGACAGATGTTGATTTTTTGCAAGTTACACATATTTTGTCTATTTTTTTTTTTTTTTCAGCATCTGTGGGACACTTCACTCTGTTGATCAGGTAAGAGTAGAAGACGACCCAAACCGTTAGCGTTCGTCCGTTTTTTAAAAATGGGCTCTTAAGTTGTTGTGCTTGCTCTTGTCTTACAGTACCTGAACATTAAACTGACAGACATCAGCGTCACGGATCCAGAGAAGTATCCACATATGGTGAGTTGTGCTGTCCATACATCGGACAATCTAGAGCTGGTTTCCCAGACATACTGTATTTAGCCCTATTTACAGTGCATTCGGAAAGTATTCAGACCCCTTGACTTTTTCCACATTTTGTTACGTTACAGCCTTATTCTAAAATTGATAAAATTTTGTTTTTTCTTTATCAATCTACACAACATTTTACATTTTAGTCATTTAGCAGACGCTCTTATCCAGAGCGACTTACAGTTAGTGAGTGCATACATTTTTCATACTGGCCCCCCGTGGGAATCGAACCCACAACCCTGGCGTTGCAAGCGCCATGCTCTACCAACTGAGCTACAGGGGACCCCATAATGACAAAGCAAAAACAGGTTTTTAGATTTTTTGCAAATGTATTCAAAAATAAAAACGGAAAAACATTTACATAAATATTCAGACCTTCACTCAGTACTTTGTTGAAGCACCTTTGGCAGCCATTACAGCCTCGAGTCTTCTTGGGTATGACGCTACAAGCTTGACACACCTGTATTTGGGGAGTTTCTCCCATTCTTCTCTGCAGATCCTCCCAAGCTCTGTCAGGTTGGATGGGGAGCGTCGCTGCACAGCTTTTTTCAGGTCTCTCCAGAGATGTTTGATCAGGTTCAAGTCCAGGCTCTGGCTGGGCCACTAAAGGACATTCAGAGACTTGTCCCGAAGCCACTCCTGTGTTGTCTTGGCTGTGTGCTTAGGGTCGTTGTCCTGTTGGAAGGTGAACTTCTCCCCAGTCTGAGGTCCTGAGCGCTCTGGGTCAGGTTTTCATCAAGGATCTCTCTGTACTTTGCTCCGCTCATCTTTCCCTCGATCCTAACTAGTCTCCCAGTCCCTGCCGCTTGAAAAACGTCCCCACAGCATGATGCTGCCACCACCATGCTTCACCGTAGGGATGGTGCCAGGTTTCCTCCAGACGTGACGCTTGGCATTCAGTCCAAATAGTTCAATCTTGTTCATCAGACCAGAGAATCTTGTTTCTCACGGTCTGAGAGTCCTGTAGGTGCCTTTTGGGAAACTCCAAGCGGGCTGTCATGTGCCTTTCACTGAAGAGTGGCTTCCGTCTGGCCACTCTACCATAAAGGCCTGATTGGTGGAGTGCTGCAGAGATTGTCCTTCTGGAAGGTTCTCCCATCTCCACAGAGGAACCATCAGGTTCTTGGTCACCTCCCTGACCAAGGCCCTTCTCCCCCGATTGCTCAGTTTGGCCGGACGGCCAGCTCTAGGAAGAGTCTTGGTGGTTCCGAACTTCCATTTTAAGAATGATGGAGGCCACTGTGTTCTTGGGGACCTTCAATGCTGCAGACATTTTTTGGTACCCTTCCCCAGATCTGTGCCTCGACACAATCCTGTCTCTGAGCTCTACGGACAATTCCTTCGACTTCATGGCTTGGTTTTTGCTCTGACTTGGTATTTTCAATTTTTTTTAAATTAGCAAAAAAATGTAGCCTGTTTTTGCTTTGTCATTATGGGGTATTGTGTGTAGATTGATGAGGAACATTTTTAATTTAATCAATTTTGCTACGGGGCGGTAGTCATTTATGGAAGGTTACCTTCGCATTCTTGGGCACAGGGACTATGGTGGTCTGCTTGAAATGTGGGTTTTACAGACTCAGACTACAGACTGGGTCAGTCCAGTACTACACTTAATCTGTGTCTGGGGAAACCAATTCCTTCCTTCACAACCCCGTCTCAGAAGGCCAATGCCTTCCTTCACAACCCCGTCTCAGAAGGCCAATGCCTTCCTTCACAACCCCGTCTCAGAAGGCCAATGCCTTCCTTCACAACCCCGTCTCAGAAGGCCAATGCCTTCCTTCACAACCCCGTCTCAGAAGGCCAATGCCTTCCTTCACAACCCCGTCTCAGAAGGCCAATGCCTTCCTTCACAACCCCGTCTCAGAAGGCCAATGCCTTCCTTCACAACCCCGTCTCAGAAGGCCAATGCCTTCCTTCACAACCCCGTCTCAGAAGGCCAATGCCTTCCTTCACAACCCCCGTCTCAGAAGGCCAATGCCTTCCTTCACAATCCCGTCTCAGAAGGCCAATGCCTTCCTTCACAACCCCGTCTCAGAAGGCCAATGCCTTCCTTCACAACCCCGTCTCAGAAGGCCAATGCCTTCCTTCACAACCCCGTCTCAGAAGGCCAATGCCTTCCTTCACAACCCCGTCTCAGAAGGCCAATGCCTTCCTTCACAACCCCGTCTCAGAAGGCCAATGCCTTCCTTCACAACCCCGTCTCAGAAGGCCAATGCCTTCCTTCACACCCCGTCTCAGAAGGCCAATGCCTTCCTTCACACCCCGTCTCAGAAGGCCAATGCCTTCCTTCACAACCCCGTCTCAGAAGGCCAATGCCTTCCTTCACAACCCCGTCTCAGAAGGCCAATGCCTTCCTTCACAACCCCGTCTCAGAAGGCCACATGCCTTCCTTCACAACCCCGTCTCAGAAGGCCAATGCCTTCCTTCACACACCCCGTCTCAGAAGGCCAATGCCTTCCTTCACAACCCCGTCTAGAAGGCCAATGCCTTCCTTCACAACCCGTCTCAGAAGGCCAATGCCTTCCTTCACCACACCGTCTCAGAGGCCAATGCCTTCCTTCACCCACACCGTCTCAGAAGGCCAATGCCCTTCCTTCACCAACCCCGTCTCAGAAGGCCAATGCCTTCCTTCACAACCCGTCTCAGAAGGCCAATGCCTTCCTTCACAACCCCGTCTCAGAAGGCCCAATGCTTCCTTCACAACCCCGTCTCAGAAGGCCAATGCCTTCCTTCACAACCCCGTCTCAGAAGGCCAATGCCTTCCTTAACCCACCGTACTCAGAAGGCCATGCCTTCCTTCACCACACCGTCTCAGAAGGCCAATGCCTTCCTTCACCAACCCCGTCTCAGAAGGCCAATGCCTTCCTTCACCAACCCCGTCTCAGAAGGCCAATGCCTTCCTTCACCAACCCCGTCTCAGAGGCCAATGCCTTCCTTCACCAACCCCGTCTCAGAAGGCCAATGCCTTCCTTCACCAACCCCGTCTCAGAAGGCCATGCCTTCCTTCACCAACCCCGTCTCAGAAGGCCAATGCCTTCCTTCACCAACCCCGTCTCAGAAGGCCAATGCCTTCCTTCCACCAACCCCGTCTCAGAAGGCCAATGCCTTCCTTCACCACCCCGTCTCAGAAGGCCAATGCCTTCCTTCCACCACCCCGTCTCAGAAGGCCAATGCCTTCCTTCACCACCCCGTCTCAGAAGGCCAATGCCTTCCTTCACCAACCCCGTCTCAGAAGGCCAATGCCTTCCTTCACCAACCCCGTCTCAGAAGGCCAATGCCTTCCTTCACCAACCCCCCTCTCAGAAGGCCAATGCCTTCCTTCACCACCCCCGTCTCAGAAGGCCAATGCCTTCCTTCACCACCCCGTCTCAGAAGGCCAATGCCTTCCTTCACCAACCCCGTCTCAGAAGGCCAATGCCTTCCTTCACCACCCCGTCTCAGAAGGCCAATGCCTTCCTTCACCACCCCGTCTCAGAAGGCCAATGCCTTCCTTCACCACCCCGTCTCAGAAGGCCAATGCCTTCCTTCACCACACCGTCTCAGAAGGCCAATGCCTTCCTTCACCAACCCCCGTCTCAGAAGGCCAATGCCTTCCTTCACCAACCCGTCTCAGAAGGCCAATGCCTTCCTTCACCACCCCGTCTCAGAAGGCCAATGCCTTCCTTCACCAACCCCGTCTCAGAAGGCCAATGCCTTCCTTCACCACCCCCGTCTCAGAAGGCCAATGCCTTCCTTCACCACCCCGTCTCAGAAGGCCAATGCCTTCCTTCACCAACCCCGTCTCACAAGGCCAATGCCTTCCTTCACAACCCCGTCTCAGAAGGCCAATGCTTCCTTCACCAACCCGTCTCAGAAGGCCAATTCCTTCCTTCACAACCCCGTCTCAGAAGGCCAATGCCTTCCTTCACAACCCCGTCTCAGAAGGCCAATGCCTTCCTTCACCAACCCCGTCTCAGAAGGCCAATGCCTTCCTTCACCAACCCCGTCTCAGAAGGCCAATGCCTTCCTTCACCACCCCGTCTCAGAAGGCCAATGCCTTCCTTCACCACACCCGTCTCAGAAGGCCAATGCCTTCCTTCACCAACCCCGTCTCAGAAGGCCAATGCCTTCCTTCACCAACCCCGTCTCAGAAGGCCAATGCCTTCCTCACCACCCCGTCTCAGAAGGCCAATGCCTTCCTTCACCAACCCCGTCTCAGAAGGCCAATGCCTTCCTTCACAACCCCGTCTCAGAAGGCCAATGCCTTCCTTCACAACCCCGTCTCAAGGCCAATGCCTTCCTTCACCAACCCCGTCTCAGAAGGCCAATGCCTTCCTTCACCAACCCCGTCTCAGAAGGCCAATGCCTTCCTTCACCACCCCGTCTCGAAGGCCATGCCTTCCTTCACCAACCCCGTCTCAGAAGGCCAATGCCTTCCTTCACACCAACCCGTCTCAGAAGGCCAATGCCTTCCTTCACAACCCCGTCTCAGAAGGCCAATGCCTTCCTTCACAACCCGTCTCAGAAGGCCAATGCCTTCCTTCAACCAACCCCGTCTCAGAAGGCCAATGCCTTCCTTCACAACCCCGTCTCAGAAGGCCAATGCCTTCCTCACCAACCCCGTCTCAGAAGGCCAATGCCTTCCTTCACCACCCCGTCTCAGAAGGCCAATGCCTTCCTTCACCAACCCCGTCTCAGAAGGCCAATGCCTTCCTTCACCAACCCCGTCTCAGAAGGCCAATGCCTTCCTTCACCAACCCCGTCTCAGAAGGCCAATGCCTTCCTTCACCAACCCCGTCTCAGAAGGCCAATGCCTTCCTTCACAACCCCGTCTCAGAAGGCCAATGCCTTCCTTCACAACCCCGTCTCAGAAGGCCAATGCCTTCCTTCACCCACACCCAGTCTCAGAAGGCCAATGCCTTCCTTCACCACCCCGTCTCAGAAGGCCAATGCCTTCCTTCACAACCCCGTCTCAGAAGGCCAATGCCTTCCTTCAACCACCACCCCGTCTCAGAAGGCCAATGCCTTCCTTCACCACCCCGTCTCAGAAGGCCAATGCCTTCCTTCACACCACCCCGTCTCAGAAGGCCAATGCCTTCCTTCACCACCCCGTCTCAGAAGGCCAATGCCTTCCTTCACCACCCCGTCTCAGAAGGCCAATGCCTTCCTTCACCACCCCGTCTCAGAAGGCCAATGCCTTCCTTCACCACCCCGTCTCAGAAGCCAATGCCTTCCTTCACCACCCCGTCTCAGAAGGCCAATGCCTTCCTTCACCCACCGTCTCAGAAGGCCAATGCCTTCGGAGCCTTCCTTCCAGAAGCCTTCCAACCCCGTCTCAGAAGGCCAATGCCTTCCTTCACAACCCCGTCTCAGGATCTTCAGAATGCTGTGAAATAAATCAATAAAGGGTGTTTTCCTGTTTTTGTTCTCTAAAGTGATAAATTCAGCCCGTTGTTTTTCCTAATGCTACCTGTTCTGTTACCTTGTGTCGACAGTTATCAGTGAAGAACTGTTTCATTCGAGGCTCCGTGGTGCGATACGTCCAGCTTCCTGCAGATGAGGTTGACACTCAGCTGCTACAGGATGCTGCGCGCAAGGAGGCTCTGCAACAGAAGCAGTGATGCTTTAACACGTGACATCACGGGTGGGAGGGAGGGAGGGAGGTATTGGAACATTAACAAATATGTTTAGTTGGGTGTAACAATCATTCGGGTATCAAAAAGTTTCTAAATATTTGCGGGTATCAAAATAATTTAATCTGTGTTTGCATAGTATAACTGTTGCCCCTGAAATGCATTCCTTAATGTCTAGCCTATGTTGCAGTGCTTAGTGTCACCTACCTCAAATGCCAACCGAGGTCTCACAGCACTTGATACCCTTCTGTTTTGGTTTTTGTAAACATTTGGGCGAGCTTCCAGCACTTCCATTTCTCTATTCAATACAGCACCACTCTCTGTGTTTGACTGATCCAGATTCCGCACGTGTTATCTTCTTATATTTTTTTGAGAAACGTTGTGCAAAAATGTGTATATATTCTCCTTCTGAATGTGCCCATCCATGAATGAAGGCTATTTTTACTGTTCTTCAGCTCAGATTGAGAATATTCTCTGCCCTTTTTCTTTGTAAAACCAGTTTTGAGCTTGTATGACTCGATGTTATTTAGATCAGCTTTTTGATGTGGTGTACATAAACCTTGTTTCAATCCTTTTCTTATTGTCCAATCATTTGAATGTTTGTATACAGTACGGCTACAGTGGGGGGGGAAAAAGTATTTAGTCAGCCACCAATTGTGCAAGTTCTCCCACTTAAAAAGATGAGAGAGGCCTGTAATTTTCATCATAGGTACACGTCAACTATGACAGACAAATTGAGAAGAAAAAAATCCAGAAAATCACATTGTAGGATTTTTAATGAATTTATTTGCAAATTATGGTGGAAAATAGAAAATAGCATTGTATCTGGTCAAACACCATTTTTTCCAATAGTTTACTAAGGGTCGGTAACAGGCTGATTGGTCGACTATTTGAGCCAGTAAAGGGGGCTTTACTATTCTTAGGTAGCGGAATTAAATAATTAATAATAATTAATACTTTTGCTTTCCTCCAGGCCTGAGGGCACACACTTTTTTTGTATGCGTAGATTGAAAATATGGCAAATAGGAGTGGCAATATAATAATAATAATATGCCATTTAGCAGACGCTTATATCCAAAGCGACTTACAGTCATGTGTGCATAAATTTTTACGTATGGGTGGTCCCCGGGGATCAATGCTCTATCAATTGAGCTACAGAGGACCACACAGTTTTAGTCCGCTATTGGCCCCGGTAATCTTCCATCCAAGTTGTCAGACCCCCGGTGTCATTGTTGATAGATAAAACATTTGACACCTCTTACACTCACGTTTCGGAAATCAAAATTACAACGTTTGTCTTTCATAATTTGGTCAGTTATACTTGGATGTGTAGTGTCGGCATTAAGTTTTTGCTAATCTTGCCGATGGAAAAAAATTATTGAAGGAGTTGGCAATATCAGTGGGTTTTGTGATGAATGTTGCCATCTGATTCAACGAATGATGGAGCTGAGTTTGCCTTTTTACCAAAAATGACCTTTAAGTTTAAATGTCATTTAAGGGGCTCCAAAGCTTTTTACTATCATTCTTTATGTCATTTATCTTTGTTTCATAGTGTAGTTTCTTCTTCTTTTTATTCAGTTTAGTCACATGATTTCTCAGTATGTTTGCCAATCGGTTGTGCAGTCAAGACTTATTTGCCATTCCTTTTGCCTCATCCCTCTCAACCATACAATTTTTTTTCAATTCCTGCTCAATCCACAGGGATTTAACAGTTTTTACAGTCATTGTCTTAATGGGTGTATGCTTATTAGTAACTGGAATAAGCAATTTCATAAATCTGTCAACTGCAGTGTCTGGTTGCTCCTCATTACACACCACAGACCAGCAAATATTTACATTGGAATCACTACAAAACGTATTGTATGACCTCTTATACACTATATTAGGCCCAGCCTTTGGAACTTTGGTTTTCCTAGATATGGCTACTATATTGTGATCACTACATCCAATGGATTTGGATACTGCTTTAAAGCAAATTTTCTGCAGCATTAGTAAGATGTGATCAATACATGTTGATGATTTCATTCCTGTGCTGTTTGTAACTACCCTGGTAGGTTGACTGATAACCTGAGCCAGGTTGCAGGCACTGGTTACTGTTCAAAGCTTTCTCTTGAGTGGGCAGCTTGATGAAAGCCAGTCAATATTTAGGTCACCCAGAAAGTATACCTCTCCATTGATATCACATACATTATTAAGCATTTCACATGTTATCCAGATACTGACTGTTAGCACTTGGTGGTCTATAGCAGCTTCCCACCAGAATGGGCTTTAGGTGAGGCAGATGAACCTGTAGCCATATTACTTCAACAGTATTTAACATGAGATCCTCTCTCAGCTTTACAGGAATGTGGTTCTGAATATAAACAGCAACACCTCCACCGTTGGCATTTCTGTCTTTTCTGTAAATGTTATAACCTTGTATTGCTACCCACTGTATCATCAAAGGTATTATCTAAGTGAGTTTCAGACATGGTCAGAATATGAATGTCATCTGTTACTATCAAGTTGTTGATTTCATGAACCTTGTTTCTTATGCTGCATATGTTAATGTGGGCTATTACAACCCATATGAATGCCCTATGACAGTAAACAGCAGTTAGAATACATTCGGAAAGTATTCAGACCCCTTGACTTTTTCCACATTTTGTTACGTTACAGCCTTATTCTAAAATTGATGAAATCATTTTTTTCCCTCATCAATCTACACACAATACCCCATAATGACGAAGGTTTTAGATATTTTTGCAAATGTATAAAAAAAAAAGTTATTATTTACATAAGTATTCAGACCCTTTAATATGAGACTCGAAATTGAGCTCAGGTGAATGCTGTTTCCATTGATCATCCTTGAGATGTTTCTACAACTTAATTTCGAGTCCATCTGTGGTAAATTCAATTGATTGGACATGATTTGGAAAGGCTATATAAGGTCCCACAGTTGACAGTGCATGTCAATGCAAAAACCAAGCCATGAGGTCGAAGGAATTGTCCGTAGAGCTCCGAGACAGGATTGTGTCGAGGAACAGATCTGGGGAAGGGTACCAAAACATTTCTGAGCATTGAAGGTCCCCAAGAACACAGTGGCCTCCATCATTCTTACATGGAGGAAGTTAGGAACCACCAAGACTCTTCCTAGAGCTGGCCGCCCGGCCAAACTGTCGGGGAAGAAGGGCCTTGGTCAGGGAGGTGACCAAGAACCCGATGGTCACTCTGACAGAGCTCCAGAGTTCCTCTGTGGAGATGGGAGAACCTTCCAGAAGGAAAGTCATCTCTGCAGCACTCCACCAATCAGGCCTTTATGGTAGAGTGGCCAGACGGAAGCCACTCCTCAGTAAAAGGCACATGACAGCCTGCTTGGAGTAGCCAAAAGGCACCCAAAGAACTCTCAGACCATGAGAAACAAGATTCTCTGGTCTGATGAAACCAAGATTGAACCCTTTGGCCTGAATGCCAAGCGTCACGTCTGGAGGAAACCTGGCACCATCCCTACGGTGAAGTATGGTGGTGGCAGCATCATGCTGTGGTGATGTTTTTCAGCAGCAGGGACTGGGAGACTAGTCAGGATCGAGGGAAAGATGAACGGAGCAAAGTACAGAGAGAACCTTGATGAAAACCTGCTCCAGAGCTCTCAGGACCTCAGACTGGGGCGAAGGTTCACCTTCCAACAGGACAACGACCCTAAGCACACAGCCAAGACAACGCCGGAGTGGCTTCGGGACAGGTCTCTGAATGTCCTTGAGTGGCACAGCCAGAGCCCGGACTTGAACCCGATCAAACATCTCTGGAGAGACATGAAAATAGCTGTGCAGCGACGCTCCCCATCCAACCTGACAGAGCTTGAGAGGATTTGCTGAGAAGAATGGGAGAAACTCCCAAAATACAGGTGTGCCAAGCTTGTAGCGTCATTCTCAAGAAGACATGAGGCTGTAATCGCTGCCAAAGGTGCTTCAACAAAGTACTGAGGAAAGGGTCTGAATACTTATTTAAATGTGATATTTCATTATTTATTTTGTATACATTTGCACAAAAAAAAAAAAAAAAAAAAGATTGCTTTGTCATTATGGGGTATTGTGCGTAGATTGAGGGGAAAAAAACGATTTAATCAATTTTGGAATAAGGCTGTAACGTAACAAAATGTGGAAAAAGTCAAGGGGTCTGAATACTTTACGAATGCACTGTATATAGGCCAGTACTGATGTCTTGAACAAGCAGAATTCTGCAGACGGGGAAATGGAATTGGGCCCTGGTCTGCTGATTAGTTGAGGAACATGAGGTCAGCTCAACTGTGATCAGCCAGGTGTAGATAATTTGACTAGATGGCAATTGCCACACAAACTCATGTGTAACATGTTCTGAAGGTGAACATCTTATCAGCAGAATAGTGTGGTCATCCCTGTGAGACATTCATGGAAGACTTCACTTCAACAACATCCCAGTAGATGAAGATGGAAGTTATTATGGTAAATTGACTACTTACATTGGAACAAATAGTCTATTTATACATGTATGTTAAATACTGTGGGATATTGAGTATGCTTTCAAAACTAACAGCAGTTTCAAGCAGCAAACCGAACCCCCTGGAGTCGATTGACGCACCCGCGCTTCAGTCTAATTAGCATGATGCAACAATTCCCATAAAAATCTAGTCTCTTAAACCGACCCTAGGCAAAAGCAGTGGCCATGTTTGAGAGGATGAAAACCGCAATGTATCATGGGTAAATTGTGATTGAGTGACTGATCTACAAATAATGAGTGGTTATTTATGATCCTGATGTGTAGATGTGTCAGTCGGCAGTCGCCTGCAGTAGTTTTGATGCTCTCCCACGCGGCCATTAATCTGGTTTCAATGATGGACTCATTTGGCATAGAGGAACTACAGTACCAGTCAAAAGTTTTAGAACACCTACTCATTCCAAGGTTTTTCTTAATTTTTTTACTATTTTCTACATTGTAGAATAATAGCAAAGACATCAAAACTATGAAAT